ACATCCTTTAGGGTTGGAAGAATAAAAAAGGATGACATTTCGTCTAGTCCTAGTTGTTATTTGTTCATGAAAATATTTTCATTTATTTCATTCAACATTCTCCTTTCGAAGTAATGTTAGTATCAGTAATTATAATAAAGTAGGTGCACACATATACCTATATTTAAATAATTTCACCTTTAACAATTTATATACATTCAGTGCCTATTTGGAAAACATAGATATGCACATGTTAAATGAATATAAATACATACTCGTATGTACCGATATGAATAACCTAATATATGAATACCACTACGACAAAAACCATTTGAATTAGAATTTTATTAATATTAAAAGTGTTTTAACGCTTTCGGATTCGATATACTTATTTTCTATTTCGACACCAATTTTTAAACTTTACGAATATAAAACTGACTTAAAAGCTCATATTACCATTTGCTTACATAATTGAAACCATTTCTATTATCACCGTTATTAATAGAGGATGGTCATGATAGTTAATTTATAAAACGATGAGTTACAGGCATTACCCAAAAACTGCTCAGCGGGTACAATAAACATTATGGGCGCATTCATTAATAGCTGACCGCTGACAAACGGTGCCTTTGCCCCCCACTGCCCTCTCTTTACCCTATTATTCCTATAAACCACGGTCTCCATGCCCCCCTTCTCTAGGACTGCCCGGCCACCCATCTCCCCATTCGGCCAGGTGTAAAACTGCTCGGTCACGGAAAGACAGACATGCAATGCGGCTAATATGTTTTTATTATTAAAGTAAAGCTACACGTATTGCATCCCTTCGACGCAGGGGGATGACCCATGAATATTTATGCGGTGATTTGTTTATGGCGCTAAATGTTTCCTGTGGTATGCTGTTGTTAATAGTTATAATCCATATACGTATGTAGGTATAAAGGATGAATATTTTTCTAAAATTGCTGTTATTATGATGACTCGGAACTTTTTTTTAAACATGAAAGCACTATTAATACAAATTCTAAAATTCCACAAGCTCCTAATACGAAAAATTAGGTAAAATTACGACAAAAGTGTATTGCATTGCACTGGTTATATCACTGCTAGTGAGTCAGGTACTCTTTCACAGTAACCGTCCACATATAAATAGTACCTATGTTGAAAGCTGATGAGTGATGTGAGAGTTATGTCAAGTTTAGTGCTGAGTTATCTTTATGTTTCTATCGTCAGGAAATCCCGCTTCCTTCTTTATTACAGGATCCGATTGTGGATACGATAACGTTGTTCAAAGCGTCATGTGTTTTGTTGCAAGTTTTTTGCAAAGCATTGCGCTAAAGTTTAATAGTTAACTTAATATGTTAGTAATATGATATTGCCAAATTAAAATCGAAGCTAAATCCATACTTCCATACTTAATATTATAAATATGAAAGTATGTTTGTTTGTTTGTCCTTCTTTCACGTCAAAACGGAGTGACGGATTCGCGTGATTTTTCTATGTGGACATAGTTGGAGTGACATAGGCTACTTTTTGCCGCGAGAGATTTTCTCATTCCCCCGGCAAAACACTTTATAAAACAACCCAAAAAATATGTATGGTCAGAATTACTAAATACGTGTTTTAGTATTTCTCGAAATTCATCCTATATGGGAGGTAAAATAGAAGGTAAAAGTTTGTATGAAACCTTTTTAGTTTGTTTTTTTTTTAGTTTCAGCGCGAGCGAAGCTGCGTTTTCTGCTAGTAATAAATAAAGGAAAAGAGAAAAAAATCATCATTATTAATCATTAGAAATTACGTAAAATTTTACACTTTACGATATAAATAGATTATAGAATGCAGTACAAGTAGGAGATAAAGAGAATTGCACTGAATTTATTATTTATAACGTAATTACAGATTGTTTCGATTACTTGTGTAGTAACTTAATATAATGCGAGTATTTATGTAGCCAATAAGATGTGATTATTACAAGAGTTAAAAGCGATTTCTTAACACGAACATCATTAAAATTTGATATCGAAAAGGTCATAAATTTCCTTCTTACCTACCATTAATATAAATTTAGCATAACTGTACGTAAAGTATTCGGCATATCAAGTGCACTAAATGATGTAGAGATAATACTGTTAATGTACAGATATAAAGGTTTCTAGCGTGGAATGGATTGTGTCGTAATTGTTAGCGTGTTTTGCGCCCGGTCACTAACTGACGCTCGGGGAACGCTCAATGCAGCTTTGAAAACATTCCATGAACTGTGACACGACAGATGATGTAGTATTTTATTTATACGTATTAGTCCTTCATTTGTTTCTTGTTATTGAATTTCCTGATGAAAGATATACAATCTTTTTTATTTTCATGTAAAATTTATAAATGTTTTTTTATTGTAATAATAAATAAGTATCAGTATATAAAGATGACATTTAGAAGTAACTAGTGTTTGCTCATGTCTCCGCACGCGTATTAGGTACTGCGATTGAAAGTAGCCTATATACGTCTGTTCAGCATGAAAGCTCTCTTCATTCTTAATTATCAACTGTTTTTTTTATCTCAAATGCATTAAGCAACTGTTACAGTTTTCGTGCTTCTTATTCTTTACTGGCGACTTACTCTAGCCACGTATTAAATAGATTAAAAAAATATTGCCAGTGTACCTACCTTAGGACACAGACATGAGCTACCGCGGATTTTTATGTTTATTGCAATGAAATGAAATAAACTTTATTCAATTAGACTTATTACAAGTACTTTTGAATCGTCAATTTAATGAAAGCGTCACTGTAGTCAGTCCATGAGGAAGCTACCACCGGCTCGGAAAGGCAGTTCTGCTGAGAAGAACCGGAGGAATTTTCTAGTAGGTACATTGTTTTGATGTATACATCTCTCAAGGTGTAAAGTCTGTAAGGTGTGTGTTGTTCTATAGTAAAAGGTATCCTAAATGATGACCCCAGTTATAAGTTATCACTACACAAAAGGTTAAAATCAGTTGAGTAGCGTATTCGTGAAATGCACACACATATACAGACAAACAGAGAAAGTGACATAAGCTTTAATAACTATTGCTTTGGGGTCTATGTTCTGTAAGTACAAAGTACGTAACCGTCATTGTTTTTAAAAAAATATTTCAAATACTGATTTTATTTGTTACTATTTCATTATAAGTATTTATAAATTAAAAATATCAATTTTTAAATTTAGATATTTTAAATTTTAATTACTAAATCTTTACCGACAAGTAAAATTATCCATTCTTATTACCTATTTAAATTTTTCAAATATTTATGTTAAGAGATGCAGGGATAAAAGGCAGACTACGTGCGAATACGTCAATCCTCATGGTGTAGTTTATATCCTTACCTTCAATCTGTTCAGCGAATTAAACGTAAAAAAGTGACAAAAGACTGACAAACTAACTTTCCAATTTAGAACTAACCTACTAGTAGTAATGATGTCACATTAAAAGTACGTAGTTAATGTAGAACATTTGCTGTCAATTAATTTTTTGACTTCACAGCGCCACCCTCGGGCCTCGACCCGTCGTTTACCAAAAATTATGGGAAAAGCAAACATTACTCGAATTACAATGTCTTTTTCTCCTCTATTTAGCGGTGCCGTGGGACTTAATGTGAAAATTATTTTATTAGTGTGACATGTTTGCGTTGCGCTTCATTAAATTCGATATTCCATTGCTCGTTAATATTTTCGCTACCTTATTTTCATGTTTTTATAACAAAGAGTTTGATCAATTTATTTATAAAAACTCATGTACATTTGTTAAAAAATGAAAAATATATTTAGTAATGTTTCACGTTGTGGTTATTACATAATAAATTAAAATTAAAAAGTCTAATTTTACTATCGGCATTCTTTAAAAAAATATAATTATCGTAATAAACATCTTCATTTGTAGTTACGCTAGTATTTGTAGCAATTACACTTATACTTTTACTACCATTTCCAAAAAACCTACTTGTTTCCATTAACTAGAATTCGCCGAGTGGTCGAACTTCGAACATTATTATTATTGATTTTTCTTAAAAAGGGATACAAAGTTTTTGTATCACGTATTAATACATAATTCTCAATTTGACCACATAACACATTTTAAATAAGAAAGTATTATGTTCGCCAGAGACTTTAACAATAAACAAAAGAGTAATGCGTTGTGTGTCGAATACATGGTAGTGTGTGTAACGTTTTTTTTTATTGATTTAATGTATTTTTATGCATAATTTTTTAAAAATATTAGCATTCTGCACTCCTTCTCTACATAAACTATAAGTGTGAGAAATTTCATACTCCTTCATTCGCGCAATTTACGTAAAAAGGGGTACAAACTTTTTGCTTCATTTATTAATACTATATTTTATAGATAATAACAAATAAAACAACCTAGCTCAATGACTAATTTCTTCAAACAATTCAAGACAACAGACAACTTTGTAAAGATTTTATATTTCGGTTTGAGTAATCTTTAGCATGGTGAGACCTATTTTTATAGGCGGTCCTTCTTTGAGTGGGCGGCGTTTACTATTGATCGCCGCCCGCCCAACGCCACCCAGACCCACAAACAAGGACCATGGCATCACAATGTACATTTTTTATCATAAAATTTGATTCCTCCTAATGTAACCAGTTGAAATGGAAAGTGACTAGTTAAAATGTAACTTTACTAAATTATTATAAATACTTAAATTAAAATTAATTTGAAAGAACTACCTATGATTTTTCATGAAAAGTTATTTGCAGGCATCAATATAAACTTTTATAGTACAAAAGCTTTTGACCTCGCAGATCCTTGCGTTTTTTGTGAATAATTATATCTTTAAAGATAATTTAAAATAGGGTATTATGGATTACCTCCGGCGTTGTATAAGTGTCATTTCATAACCAGTTTCTATTTGCAAATTGAATCTTACGGCGTCGTACGTAGACACAGAATATAGGTTTACAAATGTAAATAATCTTCGCAATGTGTACTGAAGAATGAGTTAACGTGGGTGTTCAGTTGAATTATGGAAATGGATCGTCGGCATGGGCCGACGTGCTGTTCAAACAATGCCATAACGGGATGGAGCTGCTTTAATGCCTTACCAGAACATATTATCAAAAAGTCGACCACGTAAGGATGAGTTAGTTATAGGCAATATGAAAATACTAAGTACATTTAAATATACAGTAATTTAATAGAAGTACTTAATCAATTGTTCAATAATTTATTTGCACTTACTCGTAGTTTTTTTAAGTTTAAGATATTCCAAATTTTTTGTCAAATTATCAGAACAAAACAAAACAAAAACAAAACTAAACAAAACTATTAAATTTATCTTGTAAAATGATAAAACCAAATGTAAAAACAATGAGACAATTCGTAAGAAATATAATTTTAAGACAAAAGCTTTTCTCCCAGAACCAACATATTCTCTACCGCGCATTATATCGGTAACATCACACTAATTTTAAAAAATACGAACACTTGTAAGCTTGAAGCGTGAAGAAGTAATGAACATACTTTTGTCTATATTTATTACTTTTTCATGGTGTAGTGACTCAATGTGTTTGATTTAAGTGAAATTCGGAATGAAAATAAGCTATTGAACTTCTTTGTAGAGAAATAAGTTAGTTCAATAATTACATATAACACCTCACCCAATCTAGACTTAATCTTGCCTAGTAACAAGCTAGGCGAGTATGTATACCTATGCCCCTTTTTCCGAGTCGAAGCAACAAGAGCAGGCATTTATAAAAGCAAGAGAAAATTGCTTTCATATATTGCGACGCGTCACGCAAGCCGTCCGTGATTGGTGGACAAACGTAGAAATGGCAGCGGAAACTCAGAAAGCTTTTTGTTGGCGATAAACGTTTTATGGACAATTCCTTTTTTTGTGCTCGATAATTGGAATTCAACGATATCTACCTCACTAAATTATAGACTGGTCAATTTGCATTAAATATCCATCTGGATTATGAAAAGTTGGAGTACCTACTTGATTAATTTAAAGATAAGGCACAACTCGTAAGCCACGCATTTTATAATGGCTTTTTAAACAATATTTAAACTTTGTATTATCTATCAGTTACGTATAATATTAGAACGAATAGTTACTTCAATATTAGATGATATGACTTACCTAAATAAACGTTCATTATTCAATATGTAAAACTAGTGAAAAATATAAATACTTATATAAATTTTCTGATATAGACATATTGGATATTTTGTATTTGATTTACTTGAAGTTGAAAACAATTGTAAAATTCACAATAAACATAAGTAGGTACAGAAAATATTCAAATAGATTTGTAGATAAGTTAAAAATCCGTATACACTTAAAAAATTCAATGCAGGTATCAACTACTTTGCATTATGTTTCAGTTATCTTTGAATATGAACGATAAAGATATTCTGATATAGATGAAAAATAGTCCAACCGAACTCGGCTGATAAAAAATTATAATACGCAACTCTACGTAACCGACCCACAATCAATAATTATGCTATTGGTCGAAATAGAACGAGGCGTCACAATGCTGCACCACGTCAATAGTGGAACTACTGAATACATCACTCATTATCTCCGGGACGACCAATCATAATATGTATGTATGTACCTACACTTAAAACGACTCCACTGTAACAGTAGTTAGTTTAGTTAGCTCCTCTATTTACTGACATATACCAGCTTATTTTCTTTTCAAACTGGTTATAAAGTTTAAAAGTAATATTTGTAATAATAGTAAATATAATAATAACATAGTAAATAGTATGGAAAGCGATTTACCTCTTCCTAATTAATTATTTATTTGAATAAGTGGTGCATAACAATCTCAGTATTAAGTAACTTAGAATATGTATATGTATTATATATCATAATATTTCATTCGATTCAAATTGGCAACTTCATTGACAACAATCAGTTAAATCACAATAATTCTTAAACCACTTTGGAATTTACGTTATTAAATTAGGTATAATTGCGTATTTGAAATAATATACCATAGCAGCTATGTTACCTGCAGTATAAGTTAATTTATGTTTCACTTTTCAGATATGACCTTTATCAAAGTGCATTTAAGTAGCTAACAATAAATATAGATTCGAAATCTTATATACATTATGCAGTGGTAATCCAGTGGTAACGCGCTCGCTTGGGAAACCGAGTGAAGGGAGTTCAAATCCCGGGTCTCGCACCTCTGATATTTTCATGTGCGAATCATTTCCAACACGTATTCCAATTGTCTTAACGTTGACGGAAAAACATCGTGAGGAAACCTGCATGTCTGAGAAAACCTAGCAAGTTTTCAAAAGATATATGAAGTCCGCCAACTCGCACTTGGTCAGCGTGGTGGACTATGGCCTGATTCCCCTCGTAATGAAGAGAGGTCCGTGCCCAGCAGTGGGACTTTTACATTTGGAAGTACTGTTTTTATAGCCAAAACTTCTATTAATCTTTAACATATACATGTACGTCATTCGGCACTGATAGCTGAGCAAAAAAATCTAGAAGAGAACCAAGAAAAAACCTAAATAATGGTAAAGTATCCGCAGATACCTAAATCCAGAATATACTATAATAATACCTAGATCAGGTTCTATGAACCTGATGTATAGTTTTAACCTCTTTATAATTTTTCTTACTGTTAGTAGGTACCTACATATAGGTATGAAATTGCAAACCATCTTCATTTCGCCCTCGCTTCTTTTTTATATAAATTAAGTGTTTGAAATTCATGTCATATTTAACGAATTATATAAGTATATATCACTGGAACTAGCAATCCGATAAAAAATCTTTTTTTCGCATTTAAGGCTTAGACTTGGCAAAATGATTATTATGCATTTAATTAATAATCTACGCTGGCGGAACCGCGGGCAAACACTAAGGTTTTGTGTATAACACAGTTATACACAACAACGAAAGTCTTGATATGCAAGTTTAATATTCAACATTGTATTATTTATAATAATCTATACTAATATTATAAAGAGATAAAGTTGGTGAGTTTGTGACGTTGTAGGATGTAATCTCTGGATCTACTGAACCAATTTAGATAAAATTTGGTAAAAAGATAGTTTGAGACCTTGGGAAGGACATAGGATACTTTTTATCCCGGAAATCATCTCTTAAGGGGGTGAAAATAGGGATGAAAGTTTGTATGGGGAATTAACCTAAAGAATCAAAATAACTTCGCAAATTATATTTTACTAGCGACTATTTTCCTCCCTAGGTAGTTAAAGGTTAACGCTGATTCCCATATAAAATAAACACCAGAATTTTTCGATTTTCCAGCAATTTTTTTTGGGTTTTTTTTTATACTTTTAAACAACCTTTGACACACCCCCAACAAAACAAAAAAGAATTATCCAAATCGGTCCATTCCGTTTTGAATTTTAGCGAGTCTAACGAACAGCAATTGATTTTTATATATGTATATACCTATAGAAAACTAGGGACTCACCCTCGCTTCGCTCAGGTTATACATGTTGACGCTTAGTACGGAAAAGATTTTTTCGTGACTTTTTTCCTATGTTTGATTAGTTATTCTGTTATTCGTGGAGAAGACGCAGTTCTCGAGTTACAAGTGTTGTAACAAACCCGGCTCTGTTTTATATAGATATATAGATTACTATTGAATCAATTTTTAAATACGAGTTTGATTAATAAAAAGAATCATTTCTACTTACAATTTAAAGATATAACACAAGTACGTAGTTAATCAAACAATCCATGAAAATATCCAACTTTCGAATTTATCATATAAAATTTCATTCACACAAAATTTCATATATTGACATTATTAAGGTCATAACTACGCAAATTTTAATATATCAAGTAAATAGTTTATCGCATTCAAATATATCAAGTAGTTTCCGCATACTAACAAAAGTTTCTGAAGTTCTTACGTTCGTAACCGTTTAATCTCTACTTTAAACATACAAGCTCATGTGAATGAGTACCAATACCCATACATAACGAAACCTAATCATATTTAGATATATTCATTTATATATTTTATAAAACAGAATAGCAGGGTGTATAGAAGCTAGCGCTACAAAGGCCCTGGGCGATCTGTAACACATCTAATCTATGTTGCAATTGCCTAAGCTCGTCTAGCCGTGGTGGAGGAGACGTTGGCGCAATCGTTTCGATCCGCAAAGGTCAAAGAAGGAATTCGCGCGGTCCGGCAAGCTTGCGACACTACTCTAAGGAGGTTCCACTGCGCAAAGGGTTACCGATCTCAGCTGCGCTGGAGCAGGTTGATCTGATATTTGCTCAATAATAGTTTCAAATTGAACGCCATTTTGCGATGATTAAAAGTTATATATTAGAGTTCGTGCACATTATTTAACGGTGATCCATCAGTTTGTTATTATTTACTTAGTAGGTACTTTGAGTCTTAAATCAAAATATACGTACAAGTTACAATTCAATAAATACTTACATGATCCTTTAATATTCCTTTATATTCCTTTTAAGGAATAATTTAATAACACGTCATATCGGTTTATAATATCTACTAAATTTGAAAACAAACTTATTTAAATGTATATACAATTTACATTCTACTATAAATGTTTACTAAATATTTAAACATAAAAACCAAAGAAATACTATAGGTATAATGTAATATACTTTACTTTTTCGACGTTAAAGTATCTGGTTTATTGTCATAAGATAATTTTCATCTTCATTCACACTAGAGTTCAAAGTGGACTGAAATGCCATGCAAAGTTAGCGATTTATAAAAGCAATTCGTAAAGCGTGCGTCTCGTCACCTGCGTCTGCACGTGGGCGCATCGTATTGTATGGTAATACAAAACTGCTCTGTCCACACTGCATGTAGAAATTGGAGACAGGAACAACGGAGACGGTATCATCATATCTCCAACATTTTTTTAAAAAATCTTTAATTTAAAAATATGATTAAAGGCAAAAAAATTAAGATTTAGTTATTAATATCCAGAGATTCAGTGGTTATAGTTGTACAAGTAATATTATACAGTATAAGCCCTTAGAAACTAAGAAAAATAAAGATTCTTATTTAATTTAAATATCATTAAATACTGTAGCAGACCTGCAGCCAATTTTCGATCACAACAATATCTTTGTTAACAATCTCTGCTTTAGAATATCACTTCAAAGCTGAAGCTGTCCTTTTAAAATACGCTGCCTCATGGGATTGGTTTTAGTGATCAAAGGATTTGCATTATAAATGTCTTGAAGCATTCCTTAGAATAAATCTCAATATATACGCATTAATATTTGAATGCGTGACATTTACATCATGGTAATAAATGTAGGTCTTTACAAATAAATGTTTGAATGAACTGAACATATTTACAACTATGTGTTACAGCTAATTTATGTAATGCTAAAACTTGACTCCTTTTTTACAGACATCTGAGCTGGAGTCCCTGCTGTACAAGCAAGAGGGCGCTTCCCTTGCGCCCGCCCACATGGACCTATTCGACGGTGGAACTACTTCGCGCGACGATGCTTTCCTCCGACCCGCCCTCTGGGAGGACATCGCGTCTTCCATCAGGAATATCGATCCTGAGAATGCAAACATGCTTGCTCCATTGGGAGCCACCCACGTCAAGCTCGAAGCTGATGATGCGCTCCTTGAAGAATGCGCTACACCTTTACTCAGTCCGCTGGAGATCAAGACGGAAAGGCTCTGTGCACCACCAACCTATGCCCATCCTCAGCCTCTTCATCATCAACCACAGCAGCAGCCAGCAACGTCTTTTTCAAAATACCCCCAGTCGAGGCTTGTATACATGTCTCCCCTAACACCACCCGGGTCTGATCAGGGAAGCCCAGGAAACTCTATGCAGGTAGTTCTAATACCTAACTATCAATAACGCGTTGCGATCGCTAGCGATTTATGATGGTACCATCTTTTGCATGCGACTGTGTTCTTTTATGTGGCATTAATAAATCTCAGATTTAACTTCACTAAAATGCCAAATATGTTCCACAATTTTCTTATCAATAATATCATACAAGCTAGATGTGTTATCATCTGCAGGGTGGACCGCGTCGCACTCCGCCGCCGCCGTACCACCCTCCGCCACTACTTCGTGCACCACATGTACCACAGCATCCATTACCTCAAACCCACCATCATCCCCAGGTAAAATCACTACATATCTTTAATGGGGTCTCAAAATCCATCATAATTTTAAAGTGTTGTTAAACTTTAATTACAGTTTTTATTGATTTAATTTTTGTTAATCGTTTAATTATGCCAGGCGATGCCGCAGTCCCTACAAATGGCACCGCAAGCGGCGCCGGCGCCGCATCCGCACGTGACTGCCCACCCGCGCCTAGCCCCGCCCTCCGTTAAATACAATCGACGGAATAATCCTGAACTCGAAAAAAGAAGGGTCCATCATTGTGATTTTATAGGTACTTAATTATTATTATTTTTTCCATTCCGAAATGAGAAATCTTCCGAATTTCGATGCTTTTAAGTTCAGCGTGTACTTTGGTTTCATTGATTTTCTTTTAATATCGACGTTATGAAAGAATTTTAAAAGTAGGTATATTACAACATTTAAAAACAAATAATGTTCATTTATTCCAGGTTGCACCAAGGTTTATACGAAAAGTTCGCACCTAAAAGCTCACCAGAGGATACATACAGGTGGAGTATTTATTGTTACCATTTTCAACACTAAATGCGCTGCGAATATTAAAATTACGCTGCATATGCGATAATTTTTTCATGTTTTATTTTTGTAATTTATAGAATATATTACAAATAGTATTAGGTAATACATATTTATTGAAAATATTGATAAATAAATAATACAGTGACGTATTTAATAATGGTAAAATTTAATTTACCTAAAAGTTTTCATAATTTATTCTAATTATATTAAAGCTTACACATACATTGTAGACACATGCCTATCGCGAATGACATTAGTTGTTCAAATGTCAACTGGTATGAGTGTGATTATTTCTATTTCACAGGTGAGAAACCTTATACTTGCCAATGGCCAGAGTGCGAATGGAGATTTGCGAGATCCGATGAGTTGACTCGCCATTACCGCAAACATACGGGTGCAAAACCTTTCAAGTGCGCGGTCTGTGAGCGCTCTTTCGCACGCTCCGACCACCTTGCCCTACACATGAAAAGACACCTACCCAAGACTTCCAAATGACACCCAAGGAGAGGCGGGGACCAAGCATCCACGCCTCAAGCATCTCAAGTATGTACTTCAAATTAAAACTTATAGTTACAAAAATTAAAAAAAAATAAATAAAAACCAATGGAGGTTTTGAACAAATAATTTAAAGGATCTACTTTTAATTCTGTTCTCTTTTTTTTTCAGGAAGAGTGTAGCGAAAACCTCTTTCTAGAGTGCGATCTGGAGTCAAGCCTAATGGACACATTTTATAGCGTACTGTGATTTCACTGCAGAGGGCGCAACCAAGACATTACTATATATTTAATTAATAGATGAACACGTAATATCGACATTTGTTTTAGTTTTGGAGAAATTACAACATTTGTACCATACCATAATCAGTAGAAAAATAAAATGGCATACAAATTAAGAGTAAAATTTGTGAAATTGTAGCGATGCAAATCCATAGTTAACCATAATGTAAATTATATTAATAATTTTAAAAAGCACATAAAGGTACAATCATTACCAAGGAAATCGCTTTACATATCTACATACTTAATTATTATTATAAATTATTAGCACAGAGTCATCTATTAAAGAACCCAAAATATGTAACGGTAATTGATAAGTATTTTATAAATATTTATGTACATTGAAAATGACAATTATTTTTAGTATCTAAGGCGGATGTTTTGTGACACCTCGTTAAAGTACATGTTCGCATGTTCTGTAGATCCAATTCGTAGTTTTTTTTTATGTTAAAGTTATTATTTTAGTTTTTATTTGAGTTCATAAACTATTTCTTATGCCATTATTTTATTTTAATAAAAACTATTTTATCTGGACACTTTATACGACTTGCATTCCATTGCAAAAGTGTTTGATAATTTTATTTTCTTGTTATAAGGAAAGTTTATAATCACATTTAAAGAGTTTAATAGTCTATGAAGCATTCATAAACCTATCGCACATTGAAATTTGCTCAGTGAACTAGCAAAGGGTCACAAACACACGTCGTAAAAGCTCTAAGTATTCATTAGATATGATTAATTTATTGTAAGATTAAATAAATAATATTAAGAAAGCAAGGAATATCCAAGATATTATAGATATTTTTACGTTAATGACTTTAAAAATACTAGAATTAAGCGTTAGACATTAGTTTTAATTTACGAACGCGTTTCTGGATACAACGGCCTGAACTTTTATAAGGTATTAACAATTTTGTATGAGTAAAATGATATCACAATTTTCCATGTATCTATACTACAATACTCATAAAACCTAATAGTAAAGTTCTAGAATATTTTTTACGAAGTCAGAACATTAGTTCTGTTAAGTATAAAATAAATAATTATAATTTCAAATAACTTCCAAATTACTTCAGGTCGTTTTATACGGAACCGCAGCTGTACACTTTCTAGTCTCGATTTATAACAGTTCGTTTTTTGTTTTTTTTAAGCACGTTCATCACGTCCATCATATTTTCCACTAAAACATACAATCGCTGTTCATATTTAATATGGAATAAATAAATATAATGTAGAATCTACGCTTAATTCATATGCACACTATTCTTTATAATAATATGTAAAACATTTAGAGCTCATAATAATAATTGAAAATGCTTTAGTACTTTAAGAATATATACATATATATTAAATAATCCAGCTAGCCTTATTGCCTCCGTCCACTAACACAATTTTATTACAAAAAATGTATTAAAATTGTATGTGAACTAATTAAGAGTGCCTTTAAGTAGACGAGACCATAATATTACAATTATGTGTATATTTTGTCACAATTGCCATCACAAATAGTCACTAGTTTCGAGATAATGTAAGTTGTGCCTACGTTTAGTGAAATCAAATATTATACTTGTTCTACTTATAAATAAATGTCTTTATTATAGCTTTGCACATTTCTGCTTCATATATGTATAAGGTTTTCCATTTGTTACTTTGACTGACTCATGGATTACATTTCATTCATGATAGATTCAATAAATATTCATTAGTTTCTGATTAACATTTTATAATGTTTCTATTTTGTTTTGCTCTAAGCAAATCTATCTTGGGCGCTATCAATTTTAGTCTTGCCACTCCTTCTTTGCATTTAATATATTGTAAATTCCTATTCTAACTAAATAAATATGTTCAATGTAAATTGGAATATAAGCTCTATTTAGGTATGAACTTCGTGAACGTTATTGCCATAAACAATTTATTTCAATGAACATATATGTGTGTACCTATATATTGAACATATGTATTTGTTACTTTATCATTAATAATAATATAACTTATTCATTGTAACAAAAACCTCTGAAATCTACGATCCAAAGTGAAACATCTACCTATAATTTGTTTTAAAGTTTTTTCGACATAACACTGAAAGTTAATAAAATTCATTGTTGTGGTGTGAATACACACATTCTACCTTCAGCTTTCCCGCTTTTGTCTTAAAACAATCAGACCATTTCCTTTACGATAATTAGACAATCAGTTTCTATCGATCTGCTCGATAAATTTAAATGAATCTTAACTATTATTTAACTAATATAAATAAAAAAATAATATAAAATGTATACAACACGCTATAAAATACAAATAGACGAAAATTGCTATTGCTTTGGATTCTACTGTATGCCAAAATGTCCTTCACTTAAATGTTTGAAAATATGCAATAAAGGTACAAACACAGCTCCGTTACTATTTTAACTGCTAATTACGTATTTTTATGAAATGAAATAAACTTTATTCAATTAAACTTATTACAAGTGCTTTATAAATTGCCGAATTAATCTGCATAGAGTTATCTTAAGAATTAAATTACTACTGTCATGTAATTTTAAATAGATATCAAATACATAAAAAAATCGATTCTAAAATCAATTCCCTAATTAAAATACCTATATCTACTTTTATATAAAGTCAATATAGGTATTTTAAAAACTTTCAGTGTATTGTGCTGTATAAACTAAAAGAAATTTTATATTCAAAATAAAATAAACCATGTACCTACCTTAAAGCTATTCTACAAATGATGTACAGTAGGTAAATCTTAATAGTAGTTTTATTAGTTTTGCCATAAAAATCAGAAGATGCCATACTTTAGGATCATACATTTTAGTTTTATAAATAATTTTATTTACTTAAGCTTATACATATTTCTTTGTGAAGAAAAATTTGTACCTCACTTTTGTTCTATACTTGCTTATTCCTCATTATGTACCTATTATATATTTCATTATTCCTTAAAAAGTATAAATGTTAGTTTATATTTACACGTTAATTTTACTTTTAGATATCTAGTAATATGTTGACTAAGTCACAAAATAATTTATTACCAATGACATGTTTTTGATTTCTTTTATATATGAATATTATAAATTGTTTTTATACAATCATGTAAAAAGAATAAACTAAGTGTTTAGTACAGATGACCTACAAAAGGTTTACGTAGCATAAGAGATGCCAGATGAGTGATTTACTAACTTTTTTTATTTCTAATGAACACGTAATTAAATTTTTAATTTCGATATATGTATATAAAAAGTGGTTAGAAAATAAAAGCACCCAACTTTATAAGATAAAAAATATTTCAGTAAAATTTTTCAACAAATGCAAATATACCACCTACTAAGTTTCTACAAAATTTTGAGTGAAAAATTATTCGTAGGTATATATATCTATTTATACCAATAGTTTCCTAAGCATTTTCTTTTAAAAGACAATTGTTTTAGGAACTGTTACAGAAGGATAAAATATGGTGCAAGATTAAATTGTGATGATATTAACAACATAGAGATTTTGTCTGTTTGGTCATTTATGAATATCTAATGTATGTAAAATATTTTGCTGGCATATTCACTTCAGAACAAATTAAATTTAGTCACTTTGATGTTGTGATTTGATTTACCCTATTTTGTCAGTTAATTAATAAATAGGTATTATAATAATATAATTATTCTTTAAACTTAGACTTTTCATGCCTAAGTCTTTGCCTAACGCCTATACTTTAAAAATATTAAATTCATTGTCCGTTTACTAAGAACCATATTCAGGCCGAGAACTACGAACAATTAGGTACCTACATATTTGTATCTGAAGGACAAAGAAGGAAAAAAAATATCCTGAAGTTTAGAAAAAAAGTTTAAAATAATTCACATAATAAAGATATATATATATATATATATATATATATATATATATATATATATATATATATATATATATATATCTTAATATATATATATATTTCTTGTGTGCGTGTGTATGTGACTGAACTCCTCCTAAACGACTGGACCAATTTTGATGAAATTTTTTGTGTGTGTTCAAGGGGATCTGGGAATGGTTTAGATTCACAATTTGAATAATTCAAATTAAAGACGTGTAGACAGGACAACGTCTGTCGGGTCCGCTAGTATATATATATATATATATATATATATATATATATATATATATATATATATATATATATTATAGAGAAAAAAATGATATCTCTATATTCTTTTAACTAGCGGCTCACCCTCGCTTCGCTCGGGAAAAGCACAAACAGATCTATCCCACGGGAACAGTACATTTTTCCGGGATAAAAGGTAACCTATTTGTTAGTCTGATGTATGAACTATATTGTTGTAAAATTTCATCAAAATCCAATCAATAGTTTTTTGTGTACTAAGCTGTATAAGTTACTATAGTTTTTAGACTATCCCACGGAAACTTTAATTTTCCGGGATGAAAAGTAGCTGATTTGTTTTTGTCATGTATGAACTATATTATTGTAAAGTTTAATTAAAATCCAATTAGTAGTTTGTGTGTACCAAGCTGTATAAGTTGTTATAGTTTTTTAACTATCCCACGGGAACTCTTTAATTTTCCGGGATTAAAAGTATCTAAGTTGTTGCCCGGGGATATAAGGTACCACCACGCAAAATTTCATTTAAATCGGTTTAATAGATTCGGAGATTAGCCCGTACAAACAGGAAAACAGACAAACAGCTCGCTCGGGTTCGTCCATACCTACGAATATGTTGTATTATCTCTTTAACCATTAGTCCAAACTATATGCAGTAAAAGGGAAAAGTCTTTTGTTTTAAACATTTTAGACGATAAATTTACTTATTTTGATAAGAATTCATAATTGTTGATAATATGACCAATAAACACCTACCGATTTAAATTATTTTTTTAATATAAAAAACTACTTTTTGTGACTTAAATATAAAAGTTAGACATATGTTGTCGCTGACTTTTTTGTAGGCATTATTAAGCTCTACAACTTTTCTCTAGAACATAATCATATATCTCTCATCGTTAAGACAGCGTTCGTAAGAAACGTTTTCGTTCGACCGTTTTTTCTCCGACTTACTTTGCAAATCCGACTACCATGAAAAAGTCTTTTCATTATTCGGGTTAATATATAGCCTATGACACTCAGAAAGAACGTGGCTTTCTATTGGTAAAAGAATTTTGAAAATCGGTTCAGTAGATCCAGAGATTACCCCCTACAACGTCACAAACTCACAAACTCGCAAGATCACAAACTTTACCTCTTTATAATATTAGTATAGACTACTACATAGATTGTCACGACTCACGAAATATGAATATTATGTAAATCTGATTATTGGCTGAAAATTTTGAACGGTTCCCGTGGGATAGATCTGTTTGTGCTTTTCTAGAGGTGAACTCGAGCGAAGCGAGGGTGAGCCGCTAGTTTCTATATAAGATTCAAATGGAATACAAATTGATCCAGCCTATTTCACTTGAAATGATACTGAAAGACTTACGGAGAGATAAACATGGACAGACAAAATGACAGATCCACAAAGAATTTGTCTAAGATATTTTTTGTCTTTAAAATCTATACCTACATATAATTAAATTGTAGCCAAGCAGAATCTGTACATTAAATATTTTTTGGAATATCTTATTGAAATAAACATTATTATCGATACAGAGGCCGAATTTATAGTTTTTAGAATTTTTGTCTGTCTGTTACCGCATCACATAAAAATCACTAGAGCGATTTTGATGAAATTTGGTATGGTAATAGCTGGTTATCCGGGTCAACATATAGGATAGGACTTTTACCCCGGGAAATGTCTCATTTCTGAGAAAAAGTACAAAAGCTGCAATGTAAGAGTATACTAATATGTAAAACCTAAGAATTTGGTTTTTGCTCATCTGAACGCGGGCGGAGCCGCGGGCAATGCTAGTTTTACTATATAATTGAGGAATATTACTTAATATTCCTCAATTTATATTCAATAAACTTCCAAATGGTTGACCAATTAAAGAGAAAAGCGTTAAAGCAAAGACAGCATCTACTGCACAACTGCAAAAAATATCTATACCACATAGCTTTCACTTGCTACTAATTCTTCATATCTCTTAGATAGATTTTTTCTTGTCTGCGAGGCAGGAGCTACTTCTAACTTAAAGGTGTACAACAGAGTTCAATCATGCGACCTATATTGCTATATATAGAACAGACCTATCTATATCGATCGGTTTTACTACTGCAACATACACAGACGACATAGCGGTATTATTTTATAATGATAATGCAATATCTGCTTCAAACATATTGCAGCGAGAACTAGGCGAGATCAATAAGTGACTTCAAACCAAAGTGAAGTCCATGCAAAACCAGTCCGTCTAAAGCAGTACAAGTAACCTTCACGCTAAGAAGAGGTTTCTGCCCGCCAGTACATCTTGGTTTACTATACTACACAAAGACAGTATTAAATATTATCTTCTCGTCTCCTCTTGCCTTTAGCCTCTTGGACAGCCACCTTACATGTCAGAAACATATTAAAATGAAAAGAGAAAAACTCAACATCTGATTACAGTCAAAAAAGACTGATATCAGATCCAAAAAGAAAAAAAAAATTAAGACAATATTTTATATATTAATAAATTATAGTACACTGTGATTCTATATATCAATAAAAAATGTAGCAAAAAATGCACTCATTACTGCCTTAAATATATTTCAGTTTAAGAAACAGTGAAAGTTCACTCAAAAATGTTTAATTTGATTATTAAATATTTAATAGTTTATACCTATTATATTGTTTAATATTTTTCGCTATATATCATAATTGCGCTTTTAGGTATCAAAAATAGAAAGAAGTGTTTGATGATTTATCTTATAAATAAAAATGAATGGTTAAATATGTTGCTATAAAGCGCAAAACTCGAGAACGGCTGGACCAAGTCGGCATTTTTTTTCAAATATTCGTTGACGTACGAGGAGGGTTCTTATGAAGAGAACAATTGGAAAAGTTTCAAGGAAAAACGTAAATATCACGTTTTTCTTTTTCCTTACTACTATATAATTATGAACACAATCTTCAAATTAATATAAACGACTTAAATGCATTTGTAGATATAAGACTTTCTCTTTCTACGATATACAGTTTGACGTTGACTTTGTTTGTACGTGAAAGTCACGTCCAAACAGAGTGACAGATCTGTGCGAGGAGATAGTTTCAGTCTTGAGAGTTGGAGAATGGCATAGGCTTCTGTATTTAACATACTCACCATACTTATATATGTATATACACACATAAGTCTATCTATTCCGTACTAACCGTAAAAGCGTACCTAGGTCGTCCCTCGGGTTCGTACTCAAGCGACGCGAGGATGAGTCGCTAGTTTATTAATAAATATATATGTATAGTAGCAGTAATACTTTTTGTAAACTAAAAATCCAAGCAAAATAATTAATCCCTCCACGACCGCGGACACGCCGGGGTTACAGTTAACAATCGATTTCTTAGAAATTTAATTAATTTCTTAGAAATTTACCTGGAGGTGATAAATATTATGATACATGTATTGATTTTAGAAATAATTGACTAATTTTAAGAATATCTCCTACTTTCATAAATAACGCTTAACACGCTAAACGTGCCATAGCACCAATATACTGCGTCGCCAGATAACGCTAATAGGAAAACGGTAACATCCCTAACACTTTACACAAATAAACAACCGTTATCACACACATCATATAAGAATAGGTTTGAACTAACTACACTCATTTCGTACTCGGGTTTCTAAAACTAAATTTCCTACATTCTATTCAGAAAATGTTTTACGTTTGACCTCATTATTATTTTTTTACTTCAGTGGTGTGAGAAGTGAACATTTAATAAAAATGACGGAAAAATTGTTTTGGTCGTGTATTATAACTTTTGTAGTAACGGTTGCAGCATTTACTGTTTTAGATGACGACATTCGCAACGATGACACTTATGATGTTGATAACAATTACGAGGACAGACAGGGAAAAATACGTAAGTGCATAAAATATATCTATTGTATGCATAGGTAAATTTTTTAAACGTCAATCTACATTAAGTACTGCATTAAGTCAAACCTTCTATCCAGAAAACCTTTATATTTTTAATAAACTCTATAATTTTCTATATACCTGCTTTTAAAAAAGAAGTAAAACTTTGGCAATACGTTTTGTTTTATTCTTATACCTGTATAAAACTAAAATAAAATGAAGACGCAGAATTATAGCTGCACAATTATGATCAAGATATAAGATAAGAGTAGATACTCTATAGATACATCTATCCTGTAAGTACCTATCGTTTGTCGGTAAGTATATATTTGCGTTTAACCGATAGGCATCTATATGCCAATGAATACATATTATAAAGTATGCATTTTATTTTATAGTATTTTATTTTCAGTGTTTCCCTTCGTAAGTATAGTAAGATTTGCGAATGTGGACTGTTCGAGTTCTAACACCATGAATGGGACGTGTCTGGCTCGACGTGAATGCAATAATCTAAACGGCACCATAACTGGCACTTGCGCATCTAGGAGAGGCCGATGTTGTATCGGTATGGCCATCTTTATGATATTAAGTAAAATAATAATTCAAAATAAGCGTCTCAAATCTGACAAATTACTTCAGAGTAACAGATTCCTTCGAAAATTTGACTAATTATCTATCTTTCGTTTCAAACATTCTTAAACGAGTATATGCTGATATTTCAGACATGTTTTATATAACTGTAACAAAACAATAAAAAACCATATTAGAACATATTTTTCAATATTTCGTTTTATCTATGATAGTCATTGGACTTACTTCTATTAATAAAAAATTGGTTTTAGTTTCACGTTCCTGTGGCACGACGACGAACGTGAATAACACCTATTTTACAAGTCCCGGTTACCCAGCCGCGTTCGCTGGAGGTCAGGCGTGCACAATCATTGTTAATCGGTGTAATAGCAATGTTTGCCAGGTAACTTATAATTATGTTATTATTATGAAAAGATAGAAAAAAAACCTTTTCGGCTTTTTGTACTTTGAGCGTATTGTACTCGTAGATACAATACGATTCTGGATTTCTATATCACATTAAATTGTCTCATGTTAAAAATAATTAATTTAGTAGATTGTAAAAGATGTACATACATATATAATAAGTATATGTCTATACCTACTAATAATTGTAAGTGGCGTTGATTTTTAGCTACGCATAGATTTACTGGACATGGTATTAGCGCAGCCGAATGGTGACGGCGTGTGCGCGACTGACTCTCTCACTATAACTGGTGGCAACACTATAGTGCCTATCCTTTGTGGGGACAACACTGGACAAACACTGTTTGTGGACTTTAACGACGATGCTGCGATTACTATTACTGTTACCGCTACCCTCGCTACCACATTCACGAGACGATGGAACATAAAATTAACGCAATTAGGATGCGATTGTCCTGGCATAGGTTAGTACTTGTTTGTAATTTAACTGTAATATATTTTTTATATCACGAACATAATAACTGTCGGAAAAGAATCGACAAAACAAAATAGTGCAAAAATTCGCCCACACAGCAATGTGGCTAATTCAAAAAGGCTACAAGACGAAATTCGAGTCGTGGCCCTAATCATATTTTATATCTGACATCGCCTTGTAGGTAGAAATACCACGTTCTGAACATTAGCTATGCAAGGAAAGTTTATTGAATTTTGTAATAGTATCGTAGAGTCAGTTGTTTTATAAAACAGCGTGAAAAATTAAATGATACTTTGGATTGTACATTTATTGATAAATTACAGCAGATATACATAAGTACATATAGGTAATACATCTTTAAGCCTAACATACCTGTACATACAATAAAGCTGTAACAAGATATGCCTGTTTGTTGGTTATTATAATCGCGTAGCACCAAGAACTGCTGAATGAATTTAATTAGTTAATTTTTAGGTGCTGTACCTGTAATGTGATAAATAGATTTAAAATGAGACAAGTTTCTGTTTCTTTGCGCTTGCTTTTAGACTAATTCGAAATACAAACGCATGTATATGCTGTTACGGGAAACGTTCCAGTAACAAGTCCCTGTGCCTAAGTTTATCATCAATCAATCGTCATAATTTGATGTAATACCAAAATAATGAACGCACAATAAAAAAGAATTTACCAAAGTCCATAAATAATTATCGACAACATTGGCACCCCTTAAATGAAAAGAATAACCCAAATTAAAAACATTTCTTTTTAAGAACTTATATACATGTAAATGTTCTAATTTATAGGTAAACGTAAAAATAGGGTCTTGGACTGTAGTAATAAAATGATGTGATGTTTTGTACTAAGGGCTAGAATTCATTAGATATTAAAAGAAATAAATAAAAATCATCATTTTTCTTTATTTTTTAACATAATTAATTTTTTTATATCAAAATCACGTGACTACAAACGCCAATTACGGTGCATGACGTCACTTATCATTGTCCCTAGTGTCTAGTATGGCATTATATGATCTGTGCCAATCTGTTATGTATACAGTGTAGTTTCGAAAACTCAATTTTCTGTAATCTCAAAGTTTTAATCGTTTAATTAAGTAATATTTAAATTTACTTACGTTCCTCGTCAATACCATAGCGAACAAAGTCCGAGGTGACAACTCAAATTTATCACGTATCGATGTGATCAATTTGATGTATGATGATTTTTTTTATGTATGATAGTGGCGGAATTTTTCGCTAAAACCCTGATTTTATCTCGGCGGAATTTCGAAATGTAAAAACTATCTTATAAGTACTGTTAGACAAATTAAAAGGTATAAAAATCTATAATAATATAATATCTAAAAAATTATCTTCACAGACGTAAATAATTGATTTTATGGATTGGTTTCTCCAATCTCGCCTTGCCAGATTCAACGACTTTTTTCGCATATTTTTATCATGAGGCACGGGTACCTATAAACAATTTCTCAGTTACCTTATTGGTATTATTTTCACATAAGGACACTAAACAATACTGATAATACTTAATTGCACTAATTTTCGATATTCTTCCCATAACGAACACTTTTTGGTCTATACACGGTCTGTATGATAAGTGACGTCACGCTCGACGATTGTTAAAAGAGTAGCGTTTTCGCGCCAAATTCAAAAGTGAAAAATAATTTTCAATTTTTTTACATGAGAATATAATAATTTCAGCGGGAAAATATTTTTAGCAGCATATTATTTATGTAAACAATAAATTGAGTTACTTTTCATAAAACAGTCCAAGACCCTATTCTGAGAAGTACGGGAAAATTTCCCGTGGATCTTAAATCTTAAACTAAATTTACCTAATCAATCCACGGGTCAGCTAAGGGGAACCTTCCCGTAGATCTGTACATCGGGATAGTAGTCGCAGCCTACAAGTTAAATGAAATTCTAACGGTTAAATTATAAGCCAAAATATGCTACTTTGTATAGTATCCTTCCAGCATAGTTGAGCAGATGTAAAGAGGTTTCTTTAAACATAAGAAAAAAAGCCTATGAGACCCTCGCAGGCAAAGACAAGGCTCGTTTAATGTTTGCTGACACGATTAATAATTATACTCTGCCAAAAACAAAGGCTTTCTTCTTTTTTCTACGCAATATTTTAATTTCAGCACCTAACGGCTGTTTGCAATACTACACGGGGACAACCGGTACTATACAAAGTTTTAATTACGGTTCTGCCGCAAACACGCTACTCAGTGCTTCTTTAGTAACTGGTACAAGGCAGTTAGCTAATTTAAATTATGGGATATGTATCAGAATGGAAGCTGGGTACTGCACAATACAATATTCACAGGTAAAACTGTAAATCTAATAACTCTAGCAAAAACAATCGAATCTCTGCAAAATTATTGTAATTAATAAAAATCATTGCTACAGCACTACCTAAAAAATCTGTTGAAAAAATATGAATTATTTTTTTCCAACAATTTGTGTGTTTTAAATTGTTAGGTTTGAGTTTTTTATAAATCTTTAGCATTTCGACCAAATCGTTGCTTATGATTTATATTTAATTTCTATAGTTTATTAAAATATAACTTTTCCAGAAAATAATACCCATTATTTCTTATCTTATATTATTAATATAATATTATTAATAATATATCATAATTCATTAAGTAATGGTCCATTCTTACGAAAACAAACTAAGTTGCATATTATATATTATTTAACAGAGCGCAAACGACGTGTACTCTTTCACCGTGACTGGTGATGTAGAGGGAGCAGACGCTACCGTTTTAGGTACTGCGATAGGCGCAGTTAACGGGGTGGCGTGTACTACGGACTTTGTGGTCATCCCTAACCCAGTAGTAACTGCCACTGCTGTTGCTGTTGGTACTGATCGTTTTTGTGGTTTGGGATTCGTTCCCGTATCGTGTAAGTTTTATTTGATAATATATTTTTAGTATTCATATGAGAAAAGTAGATTATATATTATAGTTATATAGATAACAAAAATATATTTTGTGTGTTCGTCTTCTATCCAAATGCAAATCAACTTTATGATATTTCTCTAAATGCTATGGGTCCAACCAGTACCTAAAAAATAAACCAGTACCTAAATGCAATAGGTACAACCGGTACCTAAAAAAATTATATTTAAAAAATACTGAACGAAACCTGAGCAAAGTAACAACGAGTCGCCAGTATTTTATACAAAAAAATATTACAAGTAATACAATACATATTAAACACATTTATTTATCTTCACTTTTGTTTAGTCCCAAAAGTAAAGTAAGGGACAGAAGAATACTAACAAATTCTGTATATATATATATATATATATATATATATATATATATATATATATATATATATATATTTATTACAGCGAGTTCTAAGCCTTTTGTATTATACGTGGTAACGGATGCAAACGAAGGCGCTACAGCAACCACACCACCAGACGTCGCCAACAGAGGTTTCTCCCTCGCGTACACTCAAATCGCTTGCTAAATATAATATCTAACAATTTACTATATTTTTAATAAACTCATTAGAGATGAAACGGATATCACGTAACAGGTAACTAACCGGTTCGCTATGAAATAAAATGCTACTATTAGAGCTGATACCAAAAACTACTAAGTTTATTGTTCGGTGGAAACAGTATATTCATTAAACATGAAAATGTAAAGATATTTATATATTTATATATTTTTTTATATAGGACAACCCATAAATTCATTTAAAAAAGAAGTATTAAAATCACACCCACAAAAAAATTAATACTAAATGTCTTGAACTTCAGCATTTAGATATATATTATAGCAAAAAAAAAATATTGTCTTGTTAACTCTGCGAGTTACACCATTTCTATTAGCAAGCGGTGCAAAAAACCAGGAAACATTCTCGTAATAAGTACATTTCAACTTTATATGTGACCGACCCGACGAGCTGGTATACACAATGGCAGAATATACATTGACTAAAAAAGCTATCCGTTTCTTCTCTAATAATTAATAATTATCTAATCCAGCAAGAATACTTTAATTCGACATTCTTTAATGTGATGGAGTGATCGATGCTGCTTCAAATTTCTAAAATCAATAAATAATTTTGTCAAGTAATTCGCTATATTAGCACTATGCAGTATTGATATAACATATTTTATGGTCAACACATTGATATATAAAAATATAGAACCTCATTTCCTAACAAATATCTCTTCAAAAAGTGGCGTCAACATGTGACGTTAAGTCAAACCAAAGAATAAAATTCAAAAATCGAAAATTCTAACTAATTATCTAAACATAAATTCGAATTTCGAACTTACGCACACCACTTATAGTACTCTTTTGAGGGAAACACCGTGCGATTTAATTTTGTCATCCGACAAGCAATGAACAAAAGAGATTTGAAAAAAGCGCATAATTTCGAATTGAGTGCTTCTTTTCGAGGACACTTTTAAGACGCTAAATGTTTATCTTGAGTTTTTGTATATCAATGGGTCAATATTATTCATATAAGGCTTATGTTAGTACTAAATTGAAACAAAATTTGAAAAGGAGACAGTTATGTTCTGAAGTTACATTTTTGTTTCCTTTTTGACAATGATTTATTTGTGTTTGGTAATAAAAGATTTTATGAATATTTTAATGTTTTATTTAATAAACTCACATATTTCTATAATACTAAATTATTCTGATACTCTTTCTACAAATATATATATTATTATTATTAGGCAGGGAAAAAATGTCCAAAATGTTCAACAGTCAAACTTTCAGGAAAAATATACATAAATAAAACAAAGTCGGGTTTGTTACAACATTTATAACTCAAGAACTGCTAGACCGATTTTTATGGTTTTTGTTTTGTAGGATTTGTTTTCATCCCGAATAGAAGAATAACTATTAAAACATCAGAAAAATCCACGAAAAAAAATCTATTCTATACTAAGCGTCAAAACTTACCTAGAGACGAATCTGAGCGAAGCGAAGGTGAGTCGCTAGTATTTTGTATATATTTAATAGTATGCTTTCGCGAAATAAAATTACATATGGCGTTCTTATATCTTATGATGAAGTAATTTTTAATCTCGCGATTTGAACGAAATAATCAAAAATAAATTATATCTTTTTTTTATCAATAATTTAGTTGTGCTATAGAGTTATAAATAAAAATAATACGCTTAGCGAATATAAAAGGCTGATGATTATTTACTTTATGAAAAAAAATCTTATTATGTACAGTATAAACATCCTAGTACTACAAAATCAAAACAAACACTAATCTAAGGCGTATAATGATTGTTTTTGCTAATTAAAATAAAATAATTAAATACTCAAAGCTAAACTAAAAAAGTATGTAAGAATATTGCAACAGCGTTTATCATTATTCATAACACATATCGCTTTGCTTAAATAAAAAAAAACATCAAGCATGTTAATTTATATTACTAATCATATTATATTTTAAGCAGTTCATAACTTTCTAAATATACATATATTAATGACTGTTGAAACAGTTTCGTATTTAACAATAGATAATACTTTTACAATCGAAGCTACATATTACAATACATATATAACATTTAAATGAAGATTGAAGAAAACATAAAATAAGGGTAAAATTAACTCAGATTACATTCTGTTAACGAGTGCGAATAAAAGGTTAAAAGTCATCGTAAAGGCAATCGCGTCAGCAAATATTATGAAGACCCTTACTTTTCATACTGCCAACATTCTTCCACGGCTCTCTTGCATACTTTGTTTCATGTTATCGAACCATTTGCTTATGTCCGTATTATCTTTCAAATCTTGAAAAGCTTTACACCCCTCTATACTACTCAATATACCGTATACGGATATATCGGCAAGATTTGGTTTTTTGCCCCCTAAAAATGGTGTGCCTTTCTTACTGATTGCATTCATCCAATCATTGGCAGCATCATACAGTGACTGTCGGACGTCGTCTTTAATGTTGTGTCTGAAAAACATTAACATTTTGAATAATAAGTACCATTATCATATTTACATACTTCAAAAGATTTCCCTTCTGGTCTCAAAGGGTCAATTCGCTTAATAACTTAAAATTGCCGATGCTAGTAAAATACATATTGATATTCACTGTTAATAGCCGATGAAAAGTTCTATTATTTTGCACTACTTAGGCAAACATACTTAGCAAACTACTAAGGTGTTATTTTCATGTAGTTATAGACAATATAGATTTAAAAAAGGAAGATTATTATAATTAAAAATTAAAATTCAACTTTAGCAATTATATTTTACCACAAAACATCTAAATCCCATGGAAATTATAAATGCGAAAGTTTGGATGGATGTTTGTTACTCAATCACGCCAGAATGCCTGAACGGATCTGGATGAAATGTGGCACAGATAGATTATAGTCTAGATTAGGACATACTTAGGCAAACGCGGATCCAGGGGGGGGGTCATGGACCCCCCTAATTAGAAACAAATTAAGTTTTTATTCGTTATTAAGCTTTTCTTTAATTTAAATAGCGCTATACAAATAGTCCGATCGCGATGTGCTACACAAAAAAATAAAACCTGAAGTTTTCTGTTTTTAAGATGTTTATAGCAAACAAGACAAGTATAGCAAACCGTTTAAAAATAGTTTTTTTTTCAATTTCTGCCTAGCTGTGACATCCTATCGAAAAATATTCTGTACAAAAGTTGTAGGTCTAGTAAAAATCTACGACTTTTATAATAACCTCAAAGTTTTCGACAATTTCCAAAACAAAAACGATTTTTAATAATATATATAATAATCATTTTTTTTTGAAATTGAAATGTTTAGCCGTTTCCGAGAAATTTATATTGTATGGTCTCGGGGGGCTTAAAATCACCCCAACTTTTGTAAAGAATATTTCAACGTTTTACATCCCCCTTTTACTTATTCGGGGATAGCTTGACAGCGGGGGCGTTTTACGGGTTTTTGTTCCTTATATACCTGCTTAATATATTTTATAATTAAGCCATAAAACTTAAGCCCTTAATTTTTTGAACACAAACCAAAATGAAATCTAGATCCACGCCTGGTCTCAATGGTTTTTAAAAAATATTTCATATACAGATTTTGCTAAGTTACTGATTTATTATATGTATATTTCAGCCTATGACCCCCCTAAAATTTAACTTTGGATCCGCACCTGTACTTATGTTACTTTTATCCTGGAAAAACGTTAGGTTCCTATGGGATAGATTTCTAGTTGTTCTTTTTTTGTTTGCGAGGGAAGAACCCGAGCAAAGCGAGAGTTGCTAGTAAATTATACAAAGAAGACTAGCAAGTATATTAAAACAAATAAAACTTATGCATATAATAGTAGGATGACATTAATCATACAATCAAATATTAAATTAATCAAGAGGAAAAATGTGTAACAATACCTGGTTTTTAATCTCTTAGCAATAATCCACATAGCAGCAGCACCAACGTAAACCATTAAAACACATTCCCAACTAGGGAATGACTGCTTCCATCCACCGACTTCTTCAAACCATTTGAAGGTTTCTAGTGACTCACTAGCCGTCCTATATACATTGGGTGACAAAGTGTGAACAAGAACTCGATCTGCCCATTGTCGCCATTCACGTTCTTCTCTAAATTTTTAAATAGAATCATAAATGTATTCATATTAACTCTTTACTATTCATATTAATTTTTATATAGTTAATACATTGACAAATAACTTACGCTTCAATAGCACGTTGCTTTTCATCTGGTACAACACTGCTGCTCATGACAAAATATTTGTTAGTCACATCCAAAGTACTCTTGCCAGCATCAGTGACATATCTTGTCAATGGATAAAACTTAATAATATCACTTAATTCATATGATTTATCTCTCAAATATGTTTCAAGAATCGACAATATTGCTGTACTGTCCACTAGTTGCTGTAATAAATAAATAAATAAATTAGTTTATACATAAATAAATCATAAATAACTCCCTAAGACAGTATTATACTATACTCTGTCAACAAATATAAATGTTCAAGTGGTGACGTAATAAAAGTATTAGCTTTCTTAATGGTACTTATCACCTACAAATGTTCAAAATAGAATTAAAGATACAGTAACATACCTGATAACCTCCATCCACTTTGGCAAGTAATATTGGTACTTTTTTATATCCTGACCATTTTATTGCTTGTCGAAGGACTGCATCCACTTCAACTATCTCATAGCTAATACCACGAGTATCCAAGTATGCTCTAACTTTACAACAAAATGGACAAGTTTGATACTGGAACAGCACTAATTGCAGATTGCTTTTATCAGACTCATTAACAATCTGAAATTTAACACCATAATCTCAAATTCAAATTAGTAGTACTATAATATAATACTGAGTTTGCAATTTACATTTGCCTAAGTAATATATGGTGTATTACTATATATTTTAATATATACAAGGACTTTACAGACACATTATTAAAAGGAATAAAGTAGGTACTTCATTTTCTTAACTTTTTTCTTTTTTTGTGTGTAATTAGATTTATTAAGTATATTTGTTTTATTAAAAGAATTACATAATTATTGATATAACATATAGCCAATCTAAACTATTACATATTTTTTAAAAGATGCGTAATTTAATCTCATTTAGTTATAATTGATTTAAATTTCTAAACAATAAAAATAATAATGATTTATGCTTGTGGATTGTGAAAATTGTAGGTGAATATAACTCTAAGATATCACACATATTAGCACTAAGCACATTTTTTTTCCTTAAGGATAATTAATATATTCAGAGTAACAAGTTATATATATATCTGTACTAAGTTAACTGTATTGCATTACATTCTATACATAAAACTAAATTATTAAGGATCATAGTACTATTAAGATTCAATATTTAAGTGATAATAATAAACAGATTTTTAATAGGCACTTTAATAACACTTTTATTCATTAATAGTAAAAATATAATGGTTTTATTGCCTGTTTAGTAAAGATTGTTGCTTCTTATTAGCGCACAGGAAACCACAGTCTTAAAATATAAATTAGGTAAATCACAGTGACACCAAATATTTCAAGAAATAAAAAATTAAAACCACCCTCCTATTCTCCTGGGCAGGGAAGGGAAGGCTCTCTTCATTAGTAGAGCGTGCGTAAACTGAATTATTAACTCTTGGAATATTTTCAAAAGCTTACATAAGTACTGAGATCTAATTAAGTTATTAAAAAAATACCTTGCGTTGAGCATGATATTTTGGAGCTTCTTTCAAAAACGCGTGTTCTTCCGTTTCCGTAGGAACAAGAGATTTTTTTGAGTTTATTTTATAATGGGTATAACCTCCATATCCGGCTCCAACTAAAATACCGACACTTGCACTAATGAGGGTCAATTTTGCCGTCGACCGGGGTAATCGGCTCTTAGTTGAATACAAGAGCTTAGACAATCTGACATTTTCTTTAATCGAGGGAAAAATAACTTTACGTAATATGGTAAACGTAGGACGCCACATTTTACAGTAAATTACATTAGATAGACGGCTTTAAAATATAATAATATTGACAATTAAAAATCAGTACTAATCTCTAATGACATAAGAACACAGATTATTTATGCAGACTATATAAAAACTAATACGTAATCGGATTTCATGCTAACGAAGAATTTTAGCATGAAGAAAAAGAAATATTTTTCACGTATTCACGATGTTATTTTTTAAATATCATAGAGAAACATTTCTTTAGAAATTTTGAAACTTCATATTATGTATGCGTGTACGTATAATAATTTTCATTATTATCTTTTATTTAAAAGAAAATATTATTGAAATTAATATTTAGAAACAATAAAATTACAATATTTTTTTCATTTTATTGTTTTACATCCAATATTTACTATTTAACAATATTTACCGCTAAGTTAAAGTACTTACTCGAGAAATATGTACAAGTTTTAATTAATTTTTGTTCGAATAATAAGATGAACGAAAATCGAAATACCATAGACCTTTAAACTCTACATTCGAAATTCACAACACTTACTTTAAATGTCGTATTTGTGGTTGTCCGTCGCGATGTCTGTGTGATACATTATTAGTGAAACTAAAGATGTTTAATTTTGTTTTCGACTTTTTTTTCTTTAAAATTAGAATTATAACTTTTAAAATTTTGTTCTAATACAACGTAATTCTGGTGGGGAGAAAAAGAAAGGTGGGTATCCTAATAAAAGTTACTTCACATTGTGATTTTGGCTCTTGGCGCGTTAGGAAGCTATGACTCTTCAAACGGGTTAAATGTTGCGGCTCTATATAGAATGTTTATATGTGTAGACACGTGGTTATGCTCGAAGCATGCCGTCGACGTCGCGGTCGCGGGGCTCAGGGCGCGGGCCTGACGGCGCGCCACGGAACCAAGTCATAGCACCCATGTCGGAGCGGCAGCAGTTGGCTCTGGTGATGCAAATTTCATCCCAGGATGCCCCTCCAGGTAAGACATATTCATAAAACTAAGGATAACGGCGAGTAATTGGGTCATTTGTAACTTCCCGCCATTTTTGGATACAGTCGCTCCGACACCAGCTGAAGAACGGAAACGCAGCAGACAACAGCGAAATGAACGAGGCGAAACACCTTTACACGTAGCCGCCATAAGAGGAGACCATGACCAAGTTAAAAAGCTTCTTGACCAGGGGCAAGATCCAGATATCCCAGACTTTGCGGGTATGTTTTATTGATTAAAAAACTGTTAATTTAATTTCATAAATACCACTCATCAATATATGTATATCTTATGACATTATTCTCATTTTTTAAATGTAAATATAATAAGTGGTGAAATATACATATGCTCTTACCGATTGATAAGTAATATAATACAACTTATAGCTTACAATCTAGGTGGCCTGTAAATAAACTTATTACTTATTATAAATATAAAAATTGTAAAATACTATGGAAGTAACTTAAAATTGGTTTAAATTAAATTAAGCAAACAAACCAAAAAGAAATACTCATTAAGTCTTGCATTTATAGTATTTATAATTAATTAACAGAAATATTATTTTACAGTCTAACAATCATTACAATTTTCGATGAATTAAAAAAAAATATGATTTACTTTCAAACAAGGTCTTTTGCATTGGACCTAAATATTATATCATAGTAACACTATAATTTTGATTGTTAAAATTATATGTAATTTGTATTAAACTTTAAATAACAATTAAGTTATGGAATATTGTGTATTCCTTTTGTTTTTTTATATTAGTCTTTTTGCTTATTATTAATACCTCAAACAGTTCTTATATATATCTTTATATATATAATTCTTCTGTGAGTGTGTATGTTACTGAACTTCTCTCAAACGACTGGACCGATTTTGATGAAATTTTTTGTGTGTGCTCAAGGGGATCTGGGAATGGTTTAGATTCACAATTTGAATAATAATTTTCATCAAAAAAATTATTAAAAAAAGTTAGAAATTTTCAAATTAAAGACGTGTAGACAGGACAACGTCTGTCGGATCCGCTAGTTATTATATATAATAGTTATTCTATTGTGTATATTATAAATATAATAAGAATATATAGATCCTATGCATAAAATGATCAACTCAAAACTAAATAAAATTTCTGATTAATGGTCTAAAGGCCAAATTATTATCAGGTTTTATATAAATATCTGTATTAAACAAGAAATAATATTATTAAATGTAATACTCAAAGTCATTTCATGCTCAAAAATTGAATGTACCACTTTCAGGAAAATTAACAGTATGTGTAATATTTGAATGATCTATTTCTAATTTAATTTGTATTCTAGGGACTCACCCTTGCTTCGCTCGGGTTCGTCCCTAGCTTGCTTCCTAATACAAACTTTCAAGCCCTTAAGGGATGATTTCTGGGATAAAAAGTGTCCTATGTCTTTCCCAGGGTCTCAAACTATCTTCTTATAAAAATTCATCTATATCGGTTCAGTAGATCCAATGATTACCCCCTTCATCGTCACAAACTCATAAACTTTACCTCTTTATAATATTAGTATAGATACATCGGTGTTTATATTTATTATACTTTACATGAACTATCATGTTCCATCATTTGATTACTGCAGTATTTATATTGTCTCAAAATTTACTTTTATATTAGTGTAGTGTTATAAAAATGCCTAGAACAAAAGATTGTTAAAAAATAATACTTTTCAATGATAAAAAGGCAATGGTAAGTAACATTTTAATATTTGTTTTTAATGTACTTAATAAATTGTTAATTCGTTTTTTTTATTGTGTGCTACATACATTTTATTAAATCAATTTATATACATAATGATGATCATATCGCACACCTAGATCTAAACAGAGCTAATTCAAAAATCACATCTTTTTAGTTATGCATACCATCGGATTCCTTAACTTACTAGCTATCGACCAATAAAACAGATACAAAAATAGTTACATTTCTCAATGCTAGGTGACAATAAAACCCCTTTTTGTTGTATGAAAGAGCCCGATTCTCTTCCACCAAAACAGGAACATAGCTAGTTACTGTCAGTATTACAACCGAAATGCATGTGCCTGTCGTAAACAAACTAGAGTTATTTTGAGTTAATTCTGTATTGTTGAGGTAAACCAGAAAATTGTAAAAACATTATTAAACGTGTCGCCATTTTGATGGTTAGTGTTAAGTAAATTAAAGCAACATTTTGACTTGAACCAGTGTTCATAGGAAAGTGAGTAAAGTTTTCGTTTTTATTTAGAATTGTTGTTGTGTTGTTGAAACATTTTTAAATTTTTAGTTGAGTCTTTTTTGTTGAGTCATTTTTTAAACTCTTATATTTCTCTAAAACCCAATTTAAAATTAACTTTTTTGCTAGTGGTGATTGGAGTCTTTTCATCTTAATATTATTTTATTTTTATCCTAGTCATTACAAAGCTTGTTGTGTTTTAATAAACATTTTTCGAGTTAGAGCTTTTTAGATGGGCTACGGTATATAAAATTTCACTATATCGAAGTTCATCAGTTCGGAGACGTAATTGGGTTCATTAAATTGATGTGGTGTAACGGATCAGATTTATTTGTTTAATTTCACTTTTTTTTAGAAAAAGAATGAATCGTGGACCAATTTTAGTAAATATGGTTGAGCAAGGAACACAGAAAATATCGGCCCTAGCTTACTGACTCAATATGAAAATATGCAACGAGATACTAGACCTTCTTGAACCAATAATACAGAAGAAGACGGTACTAGAAAATAAGCAACAACAAGAAGACTACATAAAGTTATCATCAAGCATATCCGCTAAGCGCATCCGCTGATAAATCTAATCCGAGCACATCTAAACAACTGAAGTGACAACCAGTCCGACGTGACGAAAGCGAAATTGACAACTTAGATGAAAATCCCAATTTCGGATTTGTTCATAAAAAAGACATCGTCTAAAGTCGTTCTTACTAGTTCATCGTTGTCTTCGTCCAGCACCAATAGTAGCAGCTCTAGTAGCTCATCAAGTTCTGGTAGTTCGTCGGATACCAAAGATGATAGTGCGCATGTACAACTTGACTCTCAGAATGCAATGGGTTTAAATAAAACAATCTTTTCGGAATTTCTCGCGAATTTATTTTGATTCTTGGTTCCCGACGTTTCGAATGCTTTATAGCAATCATGGTCACGAAAGAGACTCGGTCTCTTAGATTTAGATTAGAAGATAGTTTTATTTAAAATGTCAAATATTCGTGTAAATCTAAGAAAGTATTAATGCAATGGTCGCGAAAAAAAATTACTAACAGCCCGTGATAGAACAAAAAAGGACAAAAAAGGAGTACATAAACCAGAAATGTGTAAAAATTAGTGTCAGAGAAAAATGTCGGCTACAATGTAAAGTAAATTGGGTAGATGAACTATCAAGGCAATAGTTTTTTGAAGCATTTTAGGGAATTCACAAATCTTGAAAAGCAGAGAGAATTAGTAGTACCTAGGACACTAAAAAAAAATTTTTTTAAGTTATATTTTTAATTATTAATAAAAAATATTGTCTGATTGAGGACTTAATTCAGTGTTTTCTTGCTAATTCCTAATAATCAGCCAATTTACACCTACTTTTACCCCTACTTTTTGGTCTCAGACCCTCTATTAGTCGGGTTATTATAAATACATTCAAAATACTGTCCCTTTTAAATTTATAATGACTCGTCAAAAGAGAGACAACTAAACACTAAATTCGCCAACACAGGTTCAACTACAAATAACAAAAAATAAACTTACAATTTGTTAAGCAATAAAGAAACAACTACAAAAATCCAATTTTTAGGCCTATTATAGAATTGAAACACAAGATTCCTATAACATCTTTCTCTCTTTCGAAAACTTCTGGAGTGCATAAGGATTCGGTAATCAGTTTTTCACGTTTTCTGAAAAAAGTGTTTTTTTTTGAGTTAATCGCTGTTTAGATCTAGGTGTGCGATATTAACTAAAAAAGAAAAGTTTACCATAAAAAATTTAAACACTAAGGATTGTTCATCTTTTATCACAAACATTTCCAGACTTAAGATCTAATGAGAATATGAATATATTGGGAGATATGTTTGTTTTGAGACAGCTCCAAATAAAATTGTAGTTCATGTTTGCAAAAATTAAGAAAAGCTGTATGAGAAATATATTTTCTTTCTTATTTCTAAATGATAAAGAAATTCTTTAATATATTTTTAGCTCTTGTTTCCTAATTTTGGTTTTGTATTGCTTAACAAGTTTAATATGATATTAAATTTGTTAGTGAATTTTGTTTTTGCATATCAAATTAATTCTATGTCTTTGACCTCTGAAATTATCTTAACGTTATTATGTAATAGGGTGGACGGCACTACATGAAGCATGTAGCTATGGGTGGTTACAAGTTGTGGTGGTTCTCGTGAACAGCGGAGCCAACGTTAACGCTAAAGGCTTGGATGACGATACCCCACTCCATGACGCAACTACTTCAGGAAATTTAAAGATGGTTAAATTTCTCATTGACCATGGTGCAGATCCATTTGTAAAGAATTGTAAAGGGAAAACGCCATCAGATTATGCAGCCCCTCATATTTTTGAATATTTACAATCTTTAAAAGGTAAGTAGTTTTCACTTTTCTTTTAGAATTAACTTTTCATATATTATTTGGAGTTTATTTATTAAGGTGAATTAATATAATATATGGTTTATTAGTTACACACATTTACTAAATTTCAATTACATATATTTTATTAAAGCTATTTTGGCTTCATATTAAGGTTTACATTTACCTATCTAAATACATATTAGACGTCAATTGAACAATAATTTGGTTGTATCATCTACAAGTACAATAATACAAGTAAAATAATCCTAATAAAATTGTTCTAGTAAAATCCTGAAATTTGAGTTCATTTGGTTCGTTTCTATTAAGTCTTAGGAAAAAGTAATTCATAATTAGTTATGGAGTATGACAACACAAAAAAAACCTTCAATGACTATTATTTGGGTTAATTTATTAGAAACAAAAATAGCTTGCTTCTAAGTCAGTTTTAAAGTTGCAAAATTCGAATTTCGATTCTGCCTTATAGCCCAGTCATTGGTAGTTTTCCGGGAGTTTTGAATATTGGTGACTTTATAAATGCGCTAAATATTGTAATAGTGCATTGCATGTGGATTAGGCCTACTGGGATAGAATACCACGATAAAAAAACGCGCTACTCTTACTCTACCTCAAAGTGATATGGAGGTATGTATTTTAGCCAAAACGCATGTTGAAGTACACTTTCTGCGCTCGTACACTAAAACTATCGATTTTACAAAAAAAAATATTACATAAATTGTAGGAATTTTCTCTGATTTTATATATATAAGTATTTTATCGTAAAAAGAGTGGGAGTGGAGTGTGAAAATAGAGATATTGTCAAAAACTGTGAACTGTAAAATGGCGCCATTTTTCCAATTTGTCGGCGCGAGCGGCAAAGGCAAGGTGGCAAAATTGAAATTCGGAAAGAGCAATCGAAATCCATCAAATCACCAATTTTCAAAACTCTCGGAAAACTTTCCAGGTTACCTCTTTTTTTGAGCACCAAATAACTGTAATATTAGCATAAACAAACAAATATAACGAATTTTGAATTTTTGGCATCCTGTATGTGAACTGTGAAGCGTAGGCGTAGTAAACACGACTATGCACCCCATGAGGCCTCTCCACACAGGTGGCCGTGAAGCCCGGGTCTAAACAAAGTGCGTAAAACAACCTCTAAATTAATTTAATCGCCATGTTTAAGTACGTACTTTAAAAATATTTAATATCAATGTAAAAGTAATATTATTATTGACCTTGAAACCTTAAAAAATAATTATTATTATGTCGCCCTGCATTTTGTCCTAATTTTATAATGTAGAAGATTTTATTCAGTCGTTTTACGAAAGAAACCGTGCCATAGACCTACTATCTTTGTTGTAAATTAACAACAATTTTACATTAGAAATTTGTCGATTTATGCCTAATGCATGCCGTTTTCATACCTAGATAAGTTTTGATATAAAAATATATTATTTCATTATTTTAGTTGTACCAGTTTTACTTCCCTTACTCTTTCATTTAAAAAAAAAGCTTTCATCACCTTCCTTCTATTCTCTTTCAAGTATGTCTTGGTTTGCAAGATTTTAAATTAAAATATTTTATGTGGTACAGTCTTATTAAAATTTTTAGGGTTCTTCACTTGTGTGTCTTTCTGTTCATCTATAAAGTTGTATTTTCTCCAAATATATTGGACTGAGATATAATGGTAATGGTACTATACATAAAGCTGTACAGAATATGAAACGTTAATGTTAAGTTCTACAGGTTTTGTTAATAGACTTATTAAAATATATTTAAATAAAATTAAACTCCAAATTTTCATGGAAATAAATAATATTACTTAATCTTTTTGACACAACAAACAAAAACATTGTACGCTAACGTTACAAACGTTAACTTTAACTAGGCTGAAACCTGAAGCTATACAGCACGTAGAAATGTTATACTTTGCACAATACAATTTTATTTTGACACTTTAAAAAAGACGTTAATACGTGCTTTCGTTTTTTTTTTAATAATAATTTTGTAAAACTAACGCGAAGTTTCAAGTCAATTAATGTTGAAGGGCGATTAACGTTTCCGGACCAATCGTATATTATTTAATATCAATATAATGCTGTGTTTTTGTTATTGCATCTTAAAAACACTTTGTTCTTTATGGTTCTTAGGCAATACTTACTGAAAATAATACGACTTCAGACGTTAAGTGAGTCGTCCACAGTGGCCTTTATTTAATGTCACATTATTCATTAATTTTAATAACATATAGATAATCTGTTTCTATGTCGAAGTATGTAATCTACATAAATATAGCTATAGGAGGATCAATTATATTATTATTCTAATTGAATATTGATGTGACGTCAAAGTAAAGATAATTAAAACGCTAACGAATGAAACTCCTCCACTAAGTTGAAGCTTGGCTTTTGATACATACATACGATCTTGTCGCGACTCGCGACCACGTGATGCGTGATAATATAAATAGGTTTTATAAATTAACGCGTTAAAACCCTTCGATATGTTATACCCGACTATTATTTATTTATTTGGTAATTATTTGCGAGCTATCGTCGTAAACCTACAAAATAACACCTTATATAACCTTGATAGATATATATATATATATATATATATATATATATATATATATATATATATATATATTGTATAAGTGTGGCGTATAAAAGTCTAGCCTATACAAGTGGTACTACAAGTGGAGTTTTTAGCTCAATAAAAACAAATTTACTTCAAATATATTTACCGATAAAGGCACTATTCAGTCTGTTTTTAGTACTTATAAAGTTCAGAATATACTACTTCAGCCAACCATCGGATTTTAAAAATATCATGTATATTTATTTTAAAATCGTATAAAGTACCTTTATACGCACTAAAGAGGAAAGGAAACAATATATAAAATATTTTTAAGAGACTTATTAATATAGCACGTTATCATAATTTTTTTAATTATATTACGCTTAACATTATACAAATTGTCAAATTAATGAATATATACATTCATCTTTTTCTTAAATTATTTTACAAAATAATTATTCTACATTAAAACAGTTTCAATAGTCCCTGCTACTACCAGGCGGTGCATAGACAATAGAAAGAACTATTATTATCAGCCGGCTTACTACCGACAGCTTCGAGTTCTGAATTAATCGAGTTTGCCTCGATTTTCATAGAACTCGTATTTCGTACTCTTGAAATTGACATCAGCGCACGATCGTGTAGTGGTTCAAAATAGAACTAACTACGATCGAAAACGGCCGTTACGATCGAAAAGCCTTACTCCGGATTGAATCGGACTGCTGTGGTATCAAGTTTTAGGAACAATCTAATGTTAAATTTGGCGATAGGGAAAAAAGGTACTTTTTTTGGATCGAGTGTGGATATTTATCTATATAAATGTCATTTTTTATTGTTACGGCTCGCCTGCGATTTTTTTATGTTACTAACGAATCAACAGTGAAAATACGTGTAAAGGATGACACCCAAAAGCACTGTTCTGCTAGAAAAAGAAATTACACAATTGGAATCTATTTAAACTGACAGAGTTATGCTAAAACTATACATTATATGTATTTAAGTAGTAATTTTATGCAACAGACAATCGTGCTGTAAGAAGAAAGAAATAGCAGTTACGTGAATATATAGATAGAGCTATAGCAAGCGACAGTATCTTTTCCAAATATTGTGTTGCAATAGACATTAGTTTTTGAATCAATGTTTTATTTACATAGTAATAAAATACGCATTTGTGATAAACATTTTTGTTTTTTACACTTGATACAACCAATTAATAGTGTTAGACGAATTTTTTTTACTATTTTTGCTACTTTCTACCCTTCCCGTAGAGTGGGTTTGTATATTTTCCCTTCTTTTCTCTTGAATCTGTAACCATATTATAACAGTTTAATTATACCCAATACATTACTGTATGGACATCATATAGGTGTAACGTATATTTATTTTAATATACACAAATAATATACTTATACTTACCAAACAATATCTCGTAATTTTATACACCAAAACATATTATTTTTCACTAATTATTTTTTCTTTTTTTAGTGGCTTAAAAAATATTTTTACTTATTATTCTATTATATACTAGCAAAACCCGCGGCTCGCTCGCGGTAGACCTTTAAAAATAAACTTTCATATCCTCTTTTACACCCTTATGGGATGAATTTCGGAAAAGTTAAAATATGTATTTAATTATAATGAAGAGCATTAATTATAAGTTCAAGTAATTCTGATCATAAATATTTTTTTGGTTGTATTATAACGTGTTTTTCCGTGGGAATGAGATAATCTCCCGCGGTATAAAGTAGTCTAGGTCATTCTCCAGCCCTTCAACTATCTTCACACAAAAAATCACGCCAATCTGTCACTCTGTTTAGACGTGAAAGAAAGACAAACGAACAAATAAACAAACAAATACTTTCACATTTATAATATTAGTATGGATATACCAATACAAACTATTGAAATGTAGCGCTGTACACCGCGTTGTAATATGTAATAAATAGTTTTCAGATCTATACATATAATAAAATTGTGACTAAGTCGAATCTGTACATTAAATATTTTTTGGAAAATCTAATTGAAATAGACGTTATTATCGATACTGAGTCCGAATCTATAGTTTTTAGATTTTTTGTCTGTCTGTTACCGCATCACGAGAAAACCACTGGACAGATTTTGATGAAATTTGGAATGATGATAGCTGGTTATCCGGGTCAACATATAGGATACTTTTTACCGCGGGAAAATATCTCATTTCTGAGAAAAAATATAAAAACTGCATTGTAAGAGTATACTAATATGTCAAACCTAAGAATTTGGTTTTTAGTCATCTGAACGCGGGCGGAGCCGCGGGCAATGCTAGTACAGAATAAATATCTGAACTATCATTACTGTCTGTGGTTTAATCACGAAATAAATATTAAAACGCCTAGAATAATTTATATATAATCTTTAAAATTGTTATTAAAACACTAGGGAATCATCTTAAACGAAAAATGCGAATTATATAACGTTTTTTATACATTAAAAAGATTTTGACCATAGATTTACAGCAGCCGGATACAGTTAACGGCTGCTGCGCTGATAACACTCGAACGTAAGTCTTCTTGGTTTTTTTCTGACTTGGGTCGGGAGTAAGGCAGCCGGATCGAGTTCGAATCAAAAATTAATTCGAATCAAAAACAAAATCGAATTCGAATCAGTTTCAAGAGTAAGCCTCCAGGGCTGCCAGATAACAGTCGTTGATTTACCCGACCAATAAACCTCATAATACCCGGTTTATCTCGCCGGCGTCAATCATGAGCACAATATTTGAGAATAGTTTTTTTTTAAGTAATTCTTGTTTTGTATAGAATAAAAGAAAGTGCTAATGTTAAAAAAAATAAGTCATTGTAATCAGTTCTCACTTATACAACTTTATATTATTAAATCAAACATAAAAAAAAACTTAAAATATCAAATTAATCAATTCCCGCTAGCACTTGGCTTAGTAGAGCCGGAAGAAGATCATAATTTTATTTGCAACATTTGAACACTGAGCTGGAATTTCACGATACCTTTTGCTTTACGCGTACCTTCCCGCACGGCCAATATTGCAACAACATTATCTATGTTCAATGAGTTTCGATGAGCTGTTTTAGTGTTTTATGCAAATACCCGACAAAATTATCGCCATTAAAAAATCGTCTAAAATTACCCGTTTTTCGGGAATCTACCCGCCTTTTGGCAGCGCTGATTATTATACTCTTGAATAGGCTTGGGCGAAAAATATCGATATTTTTTATCGTCATATTAAAACATCGATATTTTTTCATACAATTATCGATATATATCGTCGATATTTAAAATCGCGATATATTGATGTTTGATACTTATTTTATAGTATCGAATTCGTATCGATGACGATATATATTTTTAACGCAATTGTGGTTTCGTGTTTAATAATACTCGATACTCCTTGCGGCTTGCATGCTCTTCGCGCATCGTTAACTTTAAAAAAACCGCCGCAGACTATTGGCTGGGTGCAAGTAAATACTAATAATATAAAAGCAATACCATAAATGTGAGCCGTATATGACCCTGAAGTTGGCAGACAATTTACAATTTTCGGATTTTTTTCAACAAATCAATTACAAAAAGAAACTAAAAATATGCACATATAGAAAATGAAGAAAACTATAAGTAGTTACATTTTATAATTTTTTTTATTATTTATCGTTTTGAAAAAGTTTCAAGAATTATCAGACGACGGCTAACTTTAGTATCATGAAAAGTATAAAGGCCTCTTCACGATAAGTTCAGCGCAAGCGCATCCACGATGTTTTAAAGGCAGCAATTCAAAAGTTTTGGACAATAGAAGACGCTTAACAGATGCACATTGAACAGAGGGTGCTTCTAATGTCCATATCTGATGATTACTGGTTTGTTTAAATTGTATATTGCTTAGGCTCGAGCTTTAATAATAAAATCTATTTTATTTCGTGTCTATTCTTTTTTACGAACTTTGAATGTTTTGAGAATATGTATGTATAATCGTGCGAAAACTGACGATATATATGTTTAAAAATGTCGATCCGATAAATATCGATATATTGTTTTCACTTGCCCATCCCTACTCTTGAATAATAAACTTATTATCACCTGTCCTTGAAAAATCCGGTCCGACGTCAAACGTAATCTGATCGTCTATTTACACCTTAAAAAAAATGATGTCCACAGAAAAGTAATGAAGGCTTACTGTTAAATATATAGGTAGTTGTAAATTGCTTTCATATGTTCCGAAAACAGCCCCAAGAGAAATTTTATGACCATCGATAGTCTACAGTGAAATATATATAATATACGAATAAGTAAGTTCATTATATTATTTACTTTTTACATACAAACAAAATCTATTATAATCATCGATTTTATATGATATTTTTAAAACATCAAAAAGTAACCTATGAAACTTCTATTTCATGCTAAATACTTATAAAACATTTTTAATCTGTGGCTCAGCGTAATTTATAATTCGGATTGACTTTAAGTTTTAATAAAATAATATAATCAAAAGTGGGTAGTGGGTAAAAAAATACAATCAATTTTGAATATTGCCGCAGTACAACTTTTACGTAATAAATTGATTTACTCATATTTTTTAAATATGTTTATAAGATGTTAAGATATTATTTCTTCGTGTAAAGAAACGTCTTCTGGGGCGTGTTGCTTAAACTGTCGTTATGGCCGCTCCGTAACGTCAACGTCGTGATGTTGAATTTTAGGAATAACTTGGTGATTTCATATTAAAATACTTGTCTAACAGCAAAAATAAAAATTAAACGGGCCGGGCGTCGTGAAATGCAAAGGAGAGCACTCTCGCATAACAAAGGGGAGTTGATTTTTATAATTATTTTTAATAGTCTTGTATAATGCACGCCGCACATAAATCATCAATCAATCATTAGACGACTTATGAACTACATAAAGTTAAGCATTAATCGACATTATAATCTAAATGGCTCTAATGTAAATATGAGAAATTTCGTAAGTACTTATTTATTAACTTTAAAAAATGTAATCGCAGTCTAGTTGTGGATAACTGCGTTCCGTATTTACTTACAGTCCTAATTAATGCGTATCGTTTATTTCTAATAATACAATAATATGCTCTAATTTTACACAATAATAAAACAAAGTTACAACCTACTATGCCCCTCTTAAAGTTATATCTATAATGTTATGTGTCTAACTAATGTTTTGAGATAGTCTTTAAGTTTTTAAAATGAAATAGAATGTACATATAATGTATACCTATTGTTATTACTCGACTTGTATTGATTATAGTATACTATAAGCTTATATCAACTAAATTAAAAAAGAACCACAAATGGCCAGACAATTTCACATGCCTTGGATCCATGAGGGAATAAGTAATATTTATTTAAGTTAGGTTAGAATGCAATTAAACGGTTTTGTATTTTTATTATATATAAGTACATAATCAATTATTTCGAGTTATAAATTTATAATACATAATATTTGGGCATTGCTCTTAAAAATTAGTTTTTCATTCAATATATAATAAAGATATTTGAATATGACATTTTTATAGAAACAATTATGCAAACACTGATAACAGCAATCAAACTATAAAATGTAGCGTTTACAGTGTAAACTGTATTTCAAACATTAAATATTTTCTTTAATTTGCTTGCTTATGAAGTATTTAAGTTATTAGTACATATTTATAAATGAAAGCCTTCTGTTGTGCTGAATTTGTGTTTATTTGAGCTAATCTCAAAAACTACTGTATGACTTTTGATATTCTTTGCACCAATAGTAAGGCAAGATCCCTCTTCCTTTTGGGAAAGTTAATTTATGAAAATCTTATGGAAATAAGCTAACATTATAATAGTTATGAATTAAGTTTTAAAAATTCTACCCTGAAATTAAAAATAAGAGTGCTTCTGTTATAAATGTAAAGGATATTTAGGTTAGTAAAGAGTTAGTGTTGCTGGTTTCCTGAACTACTTCCTGTTAAAAATAGCTCAATTAAAAAAAAAGATTATAGAATAATGTACTATTTCATATGACACATTTCCTTACATTTTAAATTAAAAAGCTACGTCAACATTATTTTTTAAAATAATACTATTAAATATTGAAATATAAGTAGGTATATTATATAAATAATTTCTGGCTGTATGTAGTGATATATATTTTTTTTAATACTACAATAGTAATTTTAACAAACAGATAACGCGAGAGCTGCTCACACTGGTCGATCAAGGGATGACAGCAGTAAGAAGGGTTGCAATGCAAGTGCAAGCGGCGACTCTAGTAAACGAAGTAACATGGAGGGCCTAGCGCAGGGCGAAAATTTCGAGGGCAAGGAGGCCTCGCAAGAAAAAGGCAATAATGTTGAGAATAGAGATGGTAAAAAATAAAGTTTATAACAAATATAAATTGTATTTATTTTTAATTTCATTGTGTCATTAAACTTCATTTTCATGTACATTCATGATAATTAAATAAAAATTATTTTGAACTAAGTAATTTTAAAAGTAATTAGGTTAAATTTTAGGTTCATAATTGAATTAATATATTATATAGAAGGAGCACAGCTGAGTAGTGGAGTGGTATCATCAACACAAGATGAGGTAACAACAGGTACAAAAAGATCTTATGTGGAAGATAGTCAAGAGGCAGAAGCAACTGAGGATGATTCATCAAAACGAAAGAAGAGAAAAGATAATGAGGAAAAAGAACCTATGGCAAAGCCTGCCCCTGTTGCAAGAGGAGGCACGGGACGGTAAATACTTTTTAACATTATACTTTTTATTTCTTTAGCCTTTTATTTTCAAAGGTGATGGAAACTGTAGTATAGATAGTAAATTTATGAGTTGGTTTTGAAAATATCTTAACAGAATCCTAACTGGTAGCAAACCTCCGGGACCAGCAAGTAAGACGGGAGCAACTCCTTTGGGCAAAAGTGGTTCCCAGTCCGGTGGCAAAGCAGGTGGCTCCTCAGGGAAAGGTGGTCAGGCGCAGGGCAAGGGTGGCGGTGGCGGAGCAAAGGCAAACGCACAAAACACGCATCAGGTAAATATGCATCTATGACCTTAAAAAGTCATTGGCAATAATATGCAACATTATCTTGTTTCAGCCTAATTTTTTGTTTTTACATGCATGCAGTCTTAAAAGCAATCAGTATTATTATAAATATATGACCAGCTCAGTGTGATCTATAAAAATAACGTGTGTGTGTACTTATGTATGCAGGTAACAAGTTATACTTCTTTGGTGTAACAGAAGATTTCATCCCGTATGTCACAACTCTGTTTGTAAAAAGAATGAAGTTAACTTCATTATGTTGCATTTTGGCTGTCGGTGTGCGCGCGCATTGTAAAAATTTTACTCTTAATTTTTTCCAAACATGCCAAAAGATGTATAACTTCAAAAATCTTTTTATAGTTATCAAAGCAATAGTTATGATTACTTAAACAGGGCAAATCAGGAGCTGGTAAAAATGCATCAGGCTCACAATCGGGCAAACAAGATCGAAAAAGTCCTGTGGCGAGCCCTAAGCCCAACCAGGGGAAGGATAACAACGATGGTGATGATGATCAGAAAAGTCAAGAGTCATCAGCCCCAAAAGTACCTCCATTAAAAATAGTCATACCAGGCGGGGCTGGTGGTTCAGGAAGCAGAAATGAGCAAGAGGGAGAAGGTACAGTGTATTTAATCACATGTCTTTTAAATTTACAAACAAAAACGCATATGCACTTTTTGCAGTACAACTAGCTATGTACATGCATTTAGGGGTCAAGTAAAGTCACATTATATACATATATATATATATATATATATATATATATATATATATATATATATATATATATATATATATATATTACTTACTAGGTTATCATTCCAATTTATGAGCTGAATGCATATGCTCTATTTGGATAATGATCTTATAAAAGAATTATCTAATACTCTCTTATCATCATTATATATCATCTTCATCACCATCTTAAAACTATATATTATTGCAATTTTTATTAATTTACAATATTCAAATGTGTGCAAATCTAACGATCTTTCTCAACAGACTATTATGCTTAATTTTTACGCTTTTTTATTTTATTCATACGCTAGTATCTTACCCTCGCTTCACTCGGATGCATCCCTAGGTATGTGTTAATTTTTTTTAGCAGAACCCTAATTCTTTTTCTAAAATAAAAGTAGCCAAGTTACTCTTTATAACATCACCTATCTGCCAGTGAAAGTCCCGTCAAAATCTGTCCTGCCGACAAGCAAACGGTCAAAAATGTTAAAAATTTTGTTTTTCTTATAGTTCACTAGCGACTCACCCTCGCTTCGCTCGGGTTCGTCCCTTTTTTTTTTTTAACGTTGGGAAATGCATTTACGCACGACGTGTGGGACTCACCGGCGTAATACAGCCAGTACTACCCACTAAAACCCAACAAAACCTTCCCCCGTCTTAATGGGGCGTCGCAGGATCGTTTACGCATTCAACTACGACGCCCCGACGGCAGGTCCGCCGAGGCAGACCACCACAACCATGGGGTTGCTCCACAGTCCACTCTGCTATCAGAGAAGTACCAGGAGCAACCCGCATGGTACACTGCCCTAAGAGGGCCACCTCCCACCGCCCACCGAAGTGGGCCACCTCCCTGTGCGTTTCTTGGCTTCGCGCCCGGTTGGGTTGCCGGGCACTACTGAGCCCCCCACCACGACAAGTTGAACGCACGTTGGGGGGGTTGGGTTCGTCCCTAGGTTGATGCCCCATACAAATTTTCAACCCCTTAAGGGATGTTTTCCAGGATAAAAAGTATCCTATGTCCTTCCCAGGGTCTCAAACCATATTCTTACTAAATTTCATCTAAATCAGTTTAGTAGATCCAGAGATTATCCCCTACAACGTCACGAAAGTCACAATTCACAAACTTTACCTCTTTATTATATTAGAATAGTTTATAACTTTATTTATAAGTACCTTACGAGTACATAATTTTGTTTGCATTTACTAAAAAGCTGTTATTTTGATATTATAAATAGATACTTCAATTTTATTTATCTGTATAGATAAGTGAAAAATGTTAGATCATTTGAAGATGACAGAATAATTTTATTTAGAAATTACTAATGACTCACCCTCGCTTTGCTCAGGTTCGTCCCTAGGTATGTTTTAACGGTTAGTATAAAATAGAAATCTTTAAATTTCTGAGTTATTCTGTACTATAATATGCATCATGTTTTATAAATATAAACCTTCCTCTTGAATCACTATCTATTAAAAAAAATGCATCAAAATCCGTTGCGTAGTTTTAAAGATTTAAGTATACATACTGACATGCAGACAGTGGGAAGCGGCTTTGTTTTATACTATTTAGTGATTATTAAGTGGGAAAGTCTTTATATGATTTAATTAACATGAGCACAGGGGGTACAGGTTCAAGAGGCGGTGGCAAAGGGCGAGGCGGCGCGTCCACTCTGCCCTACGTGATACCCTGCACCAGCACCGACACCGGTCAAACATCTGACAGCTCTGATGGCAACACCGAAGACAAAAGATCTGGAGAGGGTGGCAAGGTAACTAACTTCATTTAGCTTCATTACAAAATGCATTCACCGATGAACTATCCATGTATTGCTATACAACTAGGATTTATGGAAAACAAATTCATTAAAATTGATTTTTTTAGTATGAAGGCTTGCTTTATTAAATCACGTGTGTGAAAGTGTTTTCAAACTTACATATTTTAAGAATTAACAGTTTGGTCCAATAAATACACATTTTGTGTACCATTTCAATAATCTTAGACGCCATGCAGTGCTACTACAAACTACTAATCATTTAAGATTTTTACTTATGAACACAGCATGCGTGTTGCCTATCGCAATATAGCCATCGTTTAAAGACAAAGAGGTATCAACAACGAACATGTCACGACAGGTTTTAAGTAGTAAGACATTACGTACGTAAAATATTAAATACTTGTCTTGTAGGCAGGACAAAGAGTACTTCGCTCCCACAGAACGAATGACGGGGATAAAGATAAGGGGAGAAGTTCTCCCACTGGGTCGGAGAATCGCTCAGGACACAGTCAGGCTTTGAATTCCAACAAAAGTCCACCACCCTCAGTAAGTATATATATAGCACAGTACAGTAGTTGCCATATCACCATAGAGACCTTAGATATGTATCAATATCTGTCTCTTTATTCATAGTTTGTGTGGCTCATTGGACTTATTTTGAATCTTCGTTGCAGGGACATGATGGCGACCATGCTACATCTACATCTGGTTCGGGTGGAAGATCCGAGTCAGGTAATATATTACTCAATTAAATTGTTGGAAATAATTTCTCTATCAGTAACTAAGTCATAAATTATCTTAATACTCTTTCACATGCTAACTTTTAACTTTTGGAGATTTATGGTAAGGAAATATTAAATGCTTACACTTAATTATTCTTTGGTTCTTATTGTCTCTATGTCATGTGTATGTCAAGTGAAAATGATAAGCTAATAGAAATTGTATTAAACAGCTCCAGGGCCTTCGGTCGAGTTGCATCCGAGGAAGCGCAAGATCAAAGCGTCCAAGGACAGCCACTCGCGGGAGTCAAAGAATGAGCAAGTGCCAGATAGCACCACACTCACACACAGCATCACCCATTCCAACCCTTACCAAATGTACATTCATATACGTAAACAGGTGATTGTTTTATATATAAAACTAGCAATACCCGCGGCTTCGCCCGCGTCCAAACTTCTGTTCGGTAACAAAATTCACAGGATCACCCGCTGGGCTAATCTGAAGATTACCTGAAAATTTCATCAAAATCGCTCCAGCTGTTTTGGAGTCCATAGGAAACATACATACTGACATCGATTTTTATTTAATCAATAATTTAAATTTATTTATTGCTCGTAAAATGGAGTCCTTTATGAAAATTTTGTGACGCACCGACTGCAGCGCCACCTACCGGGTCCAATTGTGTTTTCAAACCATCCAGGAGCCCAGCTAAATATACACAAAATTTCATCCAAATCGGTCCAGTCCTTTAGGAAGTGTAGGTTAACAAACATACATACAGAAGAAATATATATATTAAGATAATTTATTTACCGTCAATAATATACACAAACTTTAAAATCATTTTAAATGTAACATTCACTCCATTTTAATTCAAACGGTCATTTTGTACATCACTCTTGAGGCATAATCACCTTCATTAAATGAATTGATATGATCACTGAAAACAATCCAAAATTGGCAAAAATCTCGCGTTACACAATAAATACTTGCATCTCTTTTGAAGTTGGTGTAAGGGACTATATCTCAATACAATGACTAAATCCTGTTATTAAGTAATTAAATATATTTATCTGGTATAATATTAGTAACAAATTATTGTTATTACAACAATGCAAGATTTTGTATTGTAATGACTTTTAGATTATACTTTGATGTTGTTATTAATTCTGTATTATGTAATGCTAAAATTGCCTAGTAAGAATGGTAATTAAATGTTTTTCTTTAAGCAGTACAACTATATAATATAATAATAAAAAACATTTTTTCTGTTTTATCTAGATTGAGCGACGTCAGAAAGGCTTGTTTCCAGTAAAACCTAAACCACCCAAAGATTTTAACAAATATCTGATGAATCGTTGTACTTATACTCTTCAAAATAATGTGAATCCGGAGCCGCAGGTCGAAATACCGATCAATTTACCATCTCAAATGGTTAATGAATTTTTAGCTCAGGAAAAAGAAAGGTAAGAACTAAACAGAAAATAAAAGTTTACTGTGTATAACAATTCAAATAACTACTTTTATAATAAACTTAATTTGTTAATTTATATATATATACTTTTCCGACAGAACAAGATTGCGTATACAACATCTAGTAGAGAAAGAGAAGCTTGTTCTGGCCGTCGAACAGGAGATATTGCGGGTTCACGGGCGCGCCGAACGCGCTGTGGCTAACCAAGTAAGCTAGTTAAAAATACATATAATTATTTAATCTATACATATAATAAAAGTGTAACTGATCGCTGTCTGTTCATGGAAGATATTGGAGAAAAACTATTATTGGTGATATTTATTAATGCAATAGAACTCAAAAGAATGATTTTTAGAAAATTTTGGGTTTATCTATGCATTTGTGCGCACTAATTTCAGAAACGGCTTAACTAATTTGGGTGCAGTTTTCACTAATATACATAAGCTTCACTTAACATTTAATATTTATTTTATTTCGGTTCTTTAATGAAAAAGTTAAGTCAATTTAAAGTATCACCCAGGGACAAACCAGAGCGAAGAGAGGACGAGAGTCGCTAGTTTTAATAATACACATGCATACACATTTTATATAAATCTCCATTTCTTTTAGTACAGTTAATTCTAAACTCAGTTGCCTGTGCTTGCCTATTTTTATCCTCATGCGAAGGAACTTAACATTTCGATTGGAAGTTTTTTAGTGTTTTTAAAATTGGCCAAGAAAATAATTAAAACATTCTTGCCACTATTTCACGCGGACATGATTTGTACAGTAATAACTAAGTGTACATTTGTTTTGTATATATATATAATTAACTACATTTGTAATTTTATTTATTGTAAATAAATAAAAAGAAAAATAAAAACATAAATAATATACAAGCATATTAAAATGTATATTTTGTAATATCTCTTATAATAATACAATGCAATTTGTCTGACAGGCTCTTCCTTTTTCGGTGTGCACAATACTGCGTGACAAGGAGGTGTACAACGTGTTGGCGCCGGACCAGGAAGAGAAACGCAACGCGCAGCGCTCCCGGTGCAACGGACGTCAAATCAATTCGTGGCTGCAGGAAGTCGATGATAAGTGGGAAAAGATCAAGGTGATCTATATGATTTATTTCGTATCTATTTAATTAAAGATACTTTATAATCGTTAAGAGAATAAAGTATCAGTTTTGTTATGTATATGTATGGAATAATAGTTGGCACATTTATTTAGAGTAAGTACCTGGGCGATCGAGCTTCGCTCGGAGTTCTTTTTTGTTATATCGTATTTTTTTAGTTAAAAAAACTAAAATTAAACACAAAAAATAAATAAAAGTAAGGACTTTATATATGAACGGGGTTCGAACCCGGATACCTGTGATTGTTAATCTTGCGCCTTGGCCAGTTAACCACGATGCTTATTGCCCGGGCGTGCTTAATTAGCGACCACATATTGCGTGGAATAATGCGAAAGAAAATCGCATAAAAATTCGAAAACATGCGTTTTTCCAGACATAAGACTAATCTAGATCGATTTTTCGCCCCCGAAAACCGCCACATACCAAATCTAAGCGAAATCGTTAGAGCCGTTTCCGAGATCAGAGAGGTATAAACAAATATACAAGAATTGCACATTTAAATAGATTAGATAGTTATGAATTTTAAGTGATTCAAATCCTCACCAAATTTTCAGTAACTGGTCTTCTATAACCGCTGCAAATAATTTTTTATTAACTTTATATAAAAATATATTAAAGTTTTATTAACTTTATATGAATGTCTTTCTGTATGTGTTCATGATGTATCATTTACATTCATATTTTACACTAAGTCATGGTTTATAGTTTATTGTGATAGAATCGTTTATAAGGATTTTATAGTAGTGTATATTCTAACGAAGTAATTAACATTGTAGGAAGGTATGCTTCGACGTCAGCACACGGAAGCAGAAACACTGCACGCGGTACAGATGATGGGATGGGAATGGAAACTGAAAGAACACGGTCTATGTGACTACAAGACCACCCCAAAAATAGACCCCACGCACGTACCACAAATACACGTGTCGAATTTTGACTTGCCCGCTTGAATTTTAAGTTCATATTGCCTGTGTTCATGTAAGGCCAGCACGAAACTCGTGCCGGCATAACTATAAGTTTTGTCATTCTAACGATCTCTTAACACTTTTATAACATCGATTGGTAATACGACTCAAGCGGAGCTACAAAATTGGATTATAACATTTCTAAATTTTCTCGATTGTCGTCGACCCTTTCTAAGGACTTTCCTGCGCCCCATTTTTCGGTGACAGATGATTCTTTGCTTTTTTTCTTTAATTTACATCTGAAACTTGTAAGGATCAACTGCTACCGAAATGTGGCTATTGTTAAGGTTTAATTTCTCATTATGAATCTGATGTAACATCGGATAATAATTTGGCGCCAAGGCCTCCTTCTTACAAATCGGTAAGAATATTATTATGACATAATTTGTATTTGTTATTTTACATTGAACTTAAAAATGTACAATATGTTTGAAGTTAGTTGTACATATAATTATTTTACGATTATTATTTTAAGTTGACATTAAGAATATTTCATTAATTTTAGTTAATACGTTTTAGACATATAAAGTGTACTATAATTTGAAATAGGTTTCAAATGCGCTTTATTTTTTTTTATAAGACTGCATTACTTTAGGAAAATTTTATGATTATTTAATATCTGCTTATTAGTATTTTATTAAATACATTATGGATTTTTTTAATAATGTAATTGATTACATTAATTTTATCAATTTAATATATTAATTTTTTCATGAAAGAAAATTATGTAATAATTCTTGAAATAATAAATAGATCTCAATTTTCTTGTGTAATTTTATTTATTCAAAGGAAAAAATATAAATGTTGTTTAATCAAAAGTACCTAATCAGATATTTTCGAAGTCGGTGCCTGCCGATGCAAAGCAAATCTAATATATTTCGATACGTAAAATACATATTTAGATATTCATATCCTAAAATATTGTCACCTGGCACCGACTTCGAAAAAAACTGATTAGGTATCTATTCTAAATGAAAACCCCCGTTTAGTTAATTTTTTCATTTTAGTGCCTGGAAGTCGGTTTTATTTATTTTTTTAAGTTTTTATTTTACCATTTTTAGTGTAGACCTAATAAACAGGTAATTTGTAAGAAGAAAGTTTTTTAATAACATTTGATTAAACAATTTATTTAAAATATAAATTTAATGTTGATTTTATAAAAAACCGCTCGACCGATTTCGAAAAAAAATATATGGGACCACCTAGGAAGTATACTCTTTGAAACAAAAAAAAATTCCAAATCGGTTCAGGTGTCTTTGAGTAATCGGTGAACATACATAAAAAAAAGATTCCGACGAATTGATAACCTCCTGCTTCTTGGAAGTCGTTTAAAAAATACATATTTACCTAAAAATTTAGTGCGGTACGAGTATGCATAGCATAAAACGAAAGTCCATCCCTGTTTTCCAATAAGAGCACTAAAGCGCATTAGCGGCATAATGCTAACTTCGAATGTTCCAACTACAGCAACACTTCGCACAATCAAGCATTTTGAAAAGTACTGCTTTGGCGTGATACGCGCAGGGATACCAACTCAGTAGCAGAAAATATAAGTAGTATAAGTGTTTTTTTTTTCAAGGTGGCATTGATCACAATTTTATTTACAGTATCGTTAGTAATATTTGTTTATATTTTATTTATATATTATTGTATACTTATTATTTAGATTTATTATATAATTTATAATATGTATTATATATTAGTTACATTTTTTATTCCAAAACTGATCCTAGTGCCCTCTGCTGGTGCATTAGAAAACTAATTCATGTTCCTATTAAGCATTAGCACACTTCGGCATTGTGCACTAATTACGGCATTATGCTCTGTAATTGGAAAACAGGTCTTGTCTGCCTTTGTCCGTTTCTCCACTTACTTCTAAACCACGCAACTGATTTTGATAAGTTTTTCACCAATAGAAAGAGGGATAACGGAGCAAGGTTTGTGTATGTATAGAGTTAATAAAATTGTAACAAAGAAAAATCTGTACCTATGAAATATTTTTTTAAAAGCAGTGTATGTTACGTATATTGTACAAAATATAGACCCCAAAACAATAGTTATTGTGTCTGTCTGTTTGCCTGTATATTTGTGTTCGTTTCACACAAAAAGTACTGAATATACATTTTATTCTAAAACTTATGAGATACATCAAAACAAAAATGTACTAGAAAATTGTTTTTCTTCAAGACTTACAGAAAAGTTCGCAATAGCATGTGTCTATCTGCTAAGGTAAAATATGAATTTTAAATTGTAGGATTATGATATAGTGAGCTCAGTGATGGTTCCAGTAAAAATCACATTTGTAACAATAGACAATTTATTAATGTAAAAGTTTATACTACATTTGTAACATTGTTCTTACAAATAAATAATACGACATTGATTCCTCTTGCAATCTAACAAAAAGCATTCACAAAAGAGGCAGCTTTCTTATAAAGTAACGATGCCACATAACTGCAGTGAATCCAGACAACATGTACCAGGTGACAAGATATGAAAAATGCTCATTTCTCATGGTAATTCTTGTTTGGTTAGGCAGAGGCCAGCCTTCTGGAGGATCAGGAATGCCTTTGGCATCTAACCAAACTGGAGCACAGTCATAATAAGCACTCATTTGTTCTAAATCTCTGAAAAAGAGATTTGGATACATATTTGGTTAAGTTATAACTTTACATTTATGGACTTTACATATTACTTATATGGATTTCCAATAATGACATTTATTGTAAGACAAGAGTGATAGAAATTATTATATAAAAATAATACAACATACCTGCATAGCCAAGAGTTCTTTTCAGGATTATTTTTTGGCATAAATGGCTTACGTTTTTCTGTAAGACGGACTATTCCTGTCAACTCCACTTCACCCTCAACTAACGATGCCTGACGCCTTTCTTTTGGCCGCATATGTGTAGGAATCCACCCTCGGTTTATGAGAATTACTTCTCTAAGGAAAACAATATTTTAGCAATAAAGTATAAGTACATTAAAGAATTATTTTTTTTTTTATTATTAATTATTCTTTTCTTTTTGTGTATTAAAATTTTTAAAACATTTTACTTCAAATGCAGTATGGAGTAAACACATTATAACGTTTTGTAATCACGTGCAAAACTTACCCAGTATCAGATAATTTGAAAGGAGTAACAACAAGCCATCCTTGATTTTTTTTTGGGTCTGACATGAGTGACCCTGTTCTGGATAAACCAGCGTCATTTTCAATAAGGGCACGTGGTCCCATTAGAGTTTCCTTGGAATGTAGGAACTCTCCTTTTACTTTAACTGGTCTGTATTCCAATTTTTCTAGTTCTTTAAAACTAGAACAACACAAGATTAAAAGAAAATAATAAAAGATACTTTAAATATGCATAAAATACAAATAAACGACAATGGGCACCTTTTTAAGAACCCTGGGTCCATTTGCAACAGCAGAAAGTAATAATTAACTAGTACTATAGTGTACTTGATTTCCATCTAAGGTAAATTTATTTCTTTGAATCAATGCAAATGTAACAAAGCTATTCTTCATATTATTCAAAGAAATAATATAAAATACTAGCAGTACCCGTGGCTTAGCCCGCGTCTAAATTTCTGATCGCAAAAAACAATCACAGGATCACCCTCTGAGCTAATCTAAAGATTATCTGTAAATTTCATCAGTCACTCCAGCTGTTTTGGAGTCCATAGGAAACATACATGTGCAAATTTGGTAATTTTTATTGGTATATAAATTGGTCTAAATTCATTAACATTTTCATCTCACGACACGTTGCATCTTACCGAGAAGAGCTGGACACCCAGGAAACATACATACACATCACACATCGATTTTTATTTATTTAATCAACAATTTAAATTTATTTATTGCTCGGAAATTGGAAATTTAGTGACACACCGACTGCAGCGCCACCTACCAGATCCATTTGTGAATTCAAACCTTGCAGGGGCCTACTCAAACATACACACAAAATTTTATCCAAATTGGTCCTGCTCTTTAGGAGGAGTAGGTTAACAAACACACATACAGAAGAATTATAATAGATAGAATTATATATAAAAATATATATAAGATTAAATTTACAACAGATGAAGTAGATATTTGCCTACAAAAGGCAATATTCTTGCAATGAATTTGAACTCAACCATAATCTATATTATAAGAAAATGGAGTAATACATCAATATCTTGTATGTAACACAGGTCTTATTACTGACTGGCGACTCACTATCGTTTCGCTCGGGTTCATCCCTAGCTTGCTTCCCAATACAAACTTTCATCCCCATTTTCACCCCTTAAGGGAGGATTTACGGGATAAAAGTATCCTATGTCCTTCCCAGAATCTCAAACTATCTTCTTACTAAATTTAATCTAAATCGATTCAAAGATTACCCTCAACAAAGCCACAGACACACAAACTTTACCTCTTTTTCATTTTTGAAATTTAGAAATAAGATTTCAGTTTATAAATTATTAATTAATGAGGTTTTTGTTATAATATAAATACTTATGTCAATATATTAATAATTATATTGCTCAAATAACTATAGTATAATTCACTAAAATTATTATTTATATAATATACCTAGTTATTGATTTATTTATGTCAATATAACTGATGACCAGATCATGAATGTTAGTAAAAATAATATTAAAACAAAAAATATTATAAAGATTGTCAATCCATTGTTTCTGAATATAATTAAGAGAAGACTGAGGTCTTGCTATATTTAGATATAATTTATAATATCCAAATCTACAAAACATTTGTTCTTAATTTATGATAGAAGTAATAAGTTCTTACTCATGAGGCATTTCAATAGGTTCAGAGTTAGATTTTGCATGTAACATATCTATAAGCTCAAGTTTCCACTGCAGACGATAAACTTGCCAACAACCCAAACCAAAGGATGTTACCGGCATTACCTTAAACAAAACACATTTTAAAAGTTATTAATAGGAAATAGAAACAAGGATATATTTGTGCATACTAAATCATCTACATAAAATATAAAGTAACCATACCAAATTATAAATTAGAGCAAAGATTTTTATATTGCATTATTAATTTCACACAAGTAATGTACAAAATTGTAAACTTCTTATTATAATATAGTAAGTGTATACTTTATTGTACATTAGAAACAGAATAGAAGGGAATAAATTTAATAATGAAATAAAAATAAAAAATAACCTTACCAAGAGTACCCATTTTATGACCTCTCCGGGTTCCTTACTTTTGGAATTTTTAACTCGAATAGAATGGGTAAAAGTCTTATTAAACCTGAAGATATTTACTTTAATATTTGCTGAAGTATTTTTATTAAAAAGCCTGTAATTATTTAATATTTTGGTAATACCTCTGAACATTGACATTTTGTTTAGAATATGAAGTATGAATTATGAACCACAGAAGAAATCTAAATTCTGATCAGTGTTGCCGTTTTGTATATGGAAATAATGCTAGATTTTTGCGACGATAATGCTAAAAAAGTGCTAGATCACACGTTAATATGCTAAAAAAAAATGCCAACTGTTAATTCTTGTTTAAATGATTCATAAATGAAAATAATTGTAAGTGGGTAGTGTAATAAATAAAAGGTAAATTTAATCAATTCGGTTAATAAAATTATATTTGTAAATCATCAATATCGGCTTCGTCTTGTGCTTGTGATGTTGATGGGCTATCTTCAAAATCAATAGTCATTCGCATCACAAGCGACTCTTTAACCCCTCTTATCTGTTTTAAATTTTAATACATTATCGGGAACGTTATAGGAATGACAACATTTTCCTGATCTTTTAAGGCCGTTTCTGATGTATAGAATCGAGTTCAGTGTATGTAGTGGCATTCGATTTCTTAATTTTCTTTTGACTAGATTCATTTGGCTGAATACTTGTTCTATCTAAGCAATACAATGCGGCAAAGAAAGAATAGAAATGGCCAAAGGAGTTAAATGTTAACTCCGGTTTTAGTTTAATCACTTCCATAGAGTAAATATACGACGGAGATGTGAACAATACCAATTTGTCAATCCTATAGCAAGAGTTGCCATCACTAGTACATAAAATTCGAAGAATGCTAAAATATGCAATATGCTAAGGACAATTTTTTCATGCCAACAGGGTTTAAAAAATGCCAAATTTAGCATTAAAAATGCCAAAGCGGCAACACTGATTCTGATTTCTGAACAATACTCGCGTCTCAGTCTCACACGGATTAAGGAGCACAGAATAGTTTTTATATATGTAGCAATATACTCTATGGAATAGTTTATACTAATAATATAAAGGGGTAAAGTTTGTAAGTTTGTGAATTGTAAGCTTGTGACGTTGCAGGGGGTAATCTCTGGATCTACTAAACCAATTTAGATGAAATTTGGTAAGAAGATAGTTTGAGAACTGGGAAGGACATAGGATAATTTTTATCCCGGAAATCATCCCTTAAGAGGGTGAAAATAGGAAAGAAAGTTTGTATCGCGAAGCAACCCAGGGACAAACCCGAGCGAAGCAAGGGTGAGTCGCTAGTATAGTATAAATAGTAATAAAGAAATTAATTGGGAAGAAATTTTACTTTTTCTCCCGCCATATGTCGCGATCACTATAGTCCTCAGTATATTGTAAAGCTCTATAACGTGTTTGGATATTTTTTCATTTTATTTAAAATTTAATTAAAATGACAAATTGCGCAGTGCCAGGATACAAAGAAAATTGATATCATTTGTTCCCAAAAGATAAAAACAGAAGAAATTGTGGGCTAAAGCAATAAGCCGCCCAAAAATTGTTGAAATCACAATCTTTATATTTAAAGGTGTGGAGACATCATTGTAAGAAAGTAACTTGTGACTCGAGTGAGTGATTAAAACTTTTAAATCGTCTGTAGATAAATATTTTTTTTAGTTTTTGTACTTTTTTACATATTTTACATATTGAAGTGAAACTTCTTTAGAATCGTTGTGATTTGAAACTCGATGCAACGGAAATGCGACAGTAAAAAGAGACAAACATATAAATATATAGGATTAAGCCGGCGATAGAATGAGATAGAATACATTGCGATGATGCCATGGTAACCGTTGTCATGGTAACCGTTGTTATTTGATAGAATACATTACACAGGAAGTGAAAAATAATAAAATTCATTACTGATTATTATGTAATGTTTATATTTATGTCAAATAAAATGTAAAATAACTTTTAAACTTGGTAAAAATAATATAAAAAAATCCTTATGATTATCCTACTCCTGATACTCTATATTCATATCATTTTCTGAAGTTTCACTTCTACGATGTGTGAATTGCACATTTTTTTTAATTACATTTACTTTACGGGATTGAATTTCGAAAAATGTTAAAATACGTATTTATTTAATTGTATTGAAGAGCATTAATACCAAGATTCAAGTTATTCTGATCATAAATAATTCGTTGCCCATATATCCTACTTGATTACCTCCTTTTACTTTTTAAGGGATAAATTTCAAAAAAATGAGATATATATAAAACAGCTCAGAAGGGTTTTTCCAGGAAGACAAATATTTGGCAATTAACAATTATATTTCTCGCTTTTTCTGTATACTCATTTTACATTTATATTTTATATTCCTAACTCATATAATGCGAATCACCGACTGTCCACTTGACATATCAAACATCTATATTCAAAATCTACGAACTGGCACATAAAATAACTAAATGTTACAGTCGGCCATCCGTTACAATAACGAGTCCCTTCGTTTTAGGCCACACTAAGTCAAAAAAGTTTCACAATTCATTACAATTCACTCATCTTACATTAAAAAAAGTTTGTTGAATCCTGCTACTCTCTATTTCTATCTCTAATCTGTTTGTTGTTAACAATAATCAAATATGCTGTTAGATTTTTATCGGTAAATGTATCTTCAGTAGAGGCGTGCACCCAGTGGTACAATCCTCATCTTCACTCTGTGAATCTAGTCGCTAGGTTCGATTTACTATTTCTCTTAAGGCGAGAGAATCTTAGACTGCCCACCCCCTTCAGCTCGGCAGCTAATTTATTTATGTGTCGGTCCAATCTGGCTTGATAATTATTGCTGTTTAACTCGACATCTTCCTTCACTATTTGCAGATTGAAATCTAGGTAAACATATTTATTACTTATATTTGGTGGAACATACATCATGGTTCTCATTGTTTTGCTCTGAAACCTTTCGAGTATTTCAATATTACTATGGCTGGCTTTACTCCAGAGCTGAATGCACAACTCCATATAGGCTTTCCGCTTTAGTATAGCTTTATAGGTATTAGATAGCCATTTTACTGTCATTTGCCAACGATGACTTACGACTGATGAGCCCATATATGCTGCGGAATTTGTGTCTAGCTGTTTCCTTTTAGTCCATATGTGTTTGCGCCAAGTGAGTCTACGGTCGAGATGTATACCTAAGTATTTGGCGTCATCAGATTGTGGGATCTCTCTTTCACAGAAGGGTAGGTTTTCCTTCTAAATGTGTAAGTTGCTTGAATCGGTTTATTTGTATTGGCTTTAATGCGCCACTGCTGGAACCATGCTTCGATGAGAGTCAGGTGTGATTGGAGTCTTACAGATCGGGTCTCAGGAATCGGGATTCTCATGGGTCGAAAGAAGTGAGGTATCATCTGCGTATATCGCTGTAATGGTATTGGCGTAGAGGGTAGATCTGATGTAAATATTAAATAAAGAACTGGTCCCAGTATGTTACCATGACCTAAGGTATTTCTCTATTTCATTTTCTAGATTTTGATTGTTGCTGGGGAGTGGTTCGAAGTCTGTATGTAGGTGATTAGCGTCGATCTTAATTTTTTTTTTCACAGTCTGAGCGGACACAAGAACCCGTTTGTGTTCTCAATGATGTACTTTGTTGTTTTGGACGCTTTAGGATTCTGGTAGGCTTCCACAACGAATAGTTCGGGTCACTAGTATGTGTCAGTCTTGCGAGATATGATTGTAGGTTCTCATTTTCCACATCTTTAGTTAGCGTCTTTAGTTCTTGTGAGGCTTTATTGAAGGCTGTCTTATCTCTAAGATAGTGGGTGGTGTGCCATACTCCCCGGAGTCTACGTCTTTTGTTGATACAGTTCTTAATGAACGCGGGGTATACATGTTCTTTTGTAGTTCCCGCTTTATGATGGGATGTAGATCTGTTCGGTACGTCATGAATCGATCGGTTTAATCCTTCTATTGCCTGATGAAAAAAAGGTCATTGTGAGTCACGGGTAGGCTTTAAATATACTAGAGGAATTACTCCTATTCTTTCACTACCATTTTGCTTTAAATCTCAGGGCATAATCGCTATAGCTATCCTGTCACTACAACTTGACAAGAGGATAGTTACTTCTATTCTTTCACTACCATCTTGCTCCAAGTCTTATGACCTGATATCGCTATAGTTATTATATCACTAACTTCAACTAGAGGATAGTTACTTCTATTCTTTCACTACCAACTAGTCGAGCAACCAGTCATACATAACACTCATGTTCGGCGCACATCCGCTCGAGCTCTTTGTTATGCAGACAGGTTCACTACCTATTTGTCTTATAGTTATTATATCACTAACTTCAACTAGAGGGTAGTTACTTCTATTCTTTCACTACCAACTAGTTGAGCAACCAGTCATACATAACACTCATGCTCGGCACACATCCGCTCGAGCTCTTAGTTATGCAGACAGGTTCACTACCTATTTGTCTCTACAATATTAATAAAAATACTCCTCCTCTCCATCAAAAGTCATACTCATCAAATAAATAAATAAACAGAACTTCCCGTGTTTAAAGTTTGGCCAATGGTGATCACTACAGCTCTGCCTCCTACTTCGCAAATAGTGAACACTATCTTGTCGGCTCTCGTGTCCGATCGGGCTTCGGCTGCAATGCTCGCCCTCACAAGCTCTTAGCTTCTTCTATCTGGTTACGTAAAACATACAGGGGACGATTTCTTATCTCCGTCGCCTCATTTCGTCAAATTCACCTCCATCCATCTAGAACTTGTACACACAAATATCATTAGTTTATTATATTTTAAAACTTTGTTATATATCAATTGAAGTGCTTAACAAATAAAAAATAATAATTAGTAGTATTTCATAGATTTGTTCAAAAAATAAATCTATGTTCTTACACTTTTTTTTATTTTTATTTTTCATAGGGGTTGATTGTAAAGACCATGCCACCCTTATAGGAAATACATTTTTTTTTATCTATTCTACCTTTTTAATACTAATTGCACAATTTTATACGGCATCTTTGCTTGACCCGATTGGGGTGTTACAACACCAACATCCATTTTATTATTTTTTATTATCCATTTTTTATATTCTGCCTGCCTCATTCTGAACACATTTCATTAAATTA